TGAAGTAAGTCCCATTTTCAAAGACAGAGAGCCTAGTGTGAAGATTTCAGGCTGCTTGTGTATTTAGGCTACAAGCTTGGAAAGACTGTGAGACTTTCTAGCAGCTCAGATTGCCATTATCTGTACTGATACTTTTCAGGAACTCTGTCACCTTTACCCCTGTGGATGGGAGCCTCCTGCTCCTCCTGGATGCGAAGCAGGGTGGTGAGTGATGAAATACTGTCTTTCTTGCTATGCTGCTGCTCCAGGTCTCTGTATCTTAAGGGTTTCCATTTTTCTGTTGGATTCCAGTGTTCTCTTCTGTTACTAAAATCAACATGCAGTTATATACTTGTTTTGGTTCTTAGTGGAGGAACAGGTGAGTGCTGGGTGCCTCTATTTAGCTATCTTGCCGTCCCCCCCCCCCGCCATCCCATGGGGGGATTTTTGTGTGTAGTGTGAGGTAGGGATCAGATCTCAAGTCCACCAGTGATGCTGAAATAATTATAAAACTAGAAAAACCAGTGGTCAACATCCATTGAGGCAGTGATCAATAGACTCTCCACAGGACACAGCTTGTATACGGGCAAGAATTATTTGAATTATTCAAACAATGAAAGGGATAGAGACCCTACAGGACTGGATAATCTGGACAGCTATTAGCATGTGTATTGTTCTTTGAATTCTACTTTGAGATGGCTGCAACATTTTATTGCTCCCCTTGTTAACTGAGTTAAATGGAATTTTTGACACATGTTCATTTTATGTCTTTTAGTTATGGTTGCATCCATTTTTTAAAAAATGATCATTTAGTAATTATAATTTCCCCCTTTTTATTAGTCCTTGTTCATCTTGTAGTGCAGAGGTTTTTCTTAGGCTGTTCCAAAGTCTCGGGACTGGGTGTGGAGAATCATAGAATGTGCAATATGGCACATGTGTGCCAGCAATTGTAGACAAGAAAATTCAGTGACTTGACCGTCTTAGCATAACCTATCACTTTTCTGAGAAATACAGAAGCTTTTAACAACCTCATTGTTCCTTCAGGCCCTAAATATTCTTCCAAAAGTTGAGAAATTGAAGACACGAATTAATTTTATAAGTAGGGGTTTCTACACAGAGTGAGCTTTTGCTGGAAGAAAGATAGACTCAAAACCTAGAGAAAAGTGTCATAGAGAAACACATTTTTAAAAAAGAATTGTAACTGTAATCATCACATAGCTTAAATATTTCTTTATTTAAGAGCACAAAAAGTGAATAAAAGACTTAAAAAAGGTTCTGGGCAGATTATGGTATTCATTCAGACCAAATTTTTATTTTTTAAAATGTGGTATGGCTATTTAATTTTCACATGAACAGCCAGCATCTGTGTGACTCATTCACACAATTGTCTATGTACACACAAACACATACTATTTATATAAAAAATAAATTAAGCTTTAATAAGGAGACGCAAGTTTACAAATGCAGTTTTTAAAGCCTAATAGAAAGTAAGAAATGTGGGATTTTCTGAGAAAGACAGGATCACTGTGGAATGTGGCTCTTCAAGAAAGCGTTTTAAAGATTAACAAGCTCAGGCAAAGGGCTGGGGATGGAGCTCAGGGTAGAGCACTCACCTAGCATGCACAAGGCCCTGCATTTGACCCCCAGCATTGGAAGAAGACAAAAAGAAGATGATAATAATAAAGAAAAATCCAGCACAAACCATTGAGTAATTTTTAAACACCAATTTTGTAATTGTGCAGATTTCTAAATCTAATTATTGATTTTTATTGGCTAGAACATGCCTTTTAAGGTTGCCTCCAAAAAGTTAAAAGTTAAATATGACATGAGTTAAAGGTTAAGCCTTTTAAAGAAAAAAGGATTGGGGCCTTTGGTAGCCATGATTTCAAATAATTCATTATTTAGTGAACCTAGATCAGAAATCTTAAAATGTTATGTTCTGATACCTTTCTTTGCATATTTCTAAATTAACATCTAAAACTTTTCATCATAAATTATTGCAAAAAATATAAATGCTGGCATCTACATTTCTTTTCCAACTTAGCCAAGCAGTTCTAAGTGCATTTGATAAGACACTCTCCTCCTTTCAAAAATCTATGAATAAGGTGATTTTTAAGAAGAAATGGCATTCTCCTTTATTTCCTGTTAAAAATTGCATTTTTACACCTCTTCCCCCTCAAATTTTTAGCCTAAAACTTTGGGCTTTTAGATTGTCTAACTGTATCTATCTCCGTAACAAGATTATATGATATCCTAGAATCATTATGAAGCTTGAAGCCTTTTCTTCAGGATTGAACTTGACTGATAAACACATGAAGTACAACTTTTAATTATAAAATCAGTAAAACTTCATTGGGAATATCTGAACAAGACGAATAGGGCTTTTCCCTCTGATTATTTCATCTACTTAGATTATTGTTGTCATTTTCAGAGTCAAGGGACAGCACCAATTTTGTTCTCCCTTTTAAATTCCACATGTGGAGATGTTGATGGTCCTCACTCACAGATAAGGAGAGACAACAAGTTTTATGACAGCAATGTGTCTGAGTTCTGCCATCTCCTTCACAGGCCCATGTTAAACGACACAACTCTACTGGGCATTCAGTCCATCTTGTAAAAGAAAAGCATTGTGAATTACCAGACTTGCAAAAGGATTGTACTCTGTTAGTCTTCCACTCTACAAACGTCCATATTTTGAATTCTACACATTGGGCCATAGTCTTCAGTAGACAGGTGCTGGAGGAAGCCATGTTGTCTTTTGTAAGATGAGAACAAGGCATTTTCTTAGGAATGAGTAATACAGGAAGATGAGGATCTGACAACAGAGACTCCAGAGAGCTCTGGAATACTCCCAGGAGTAAGGTGGCTCACCATGGCTTTGGCAGCCTAAGTTTAAATTTTTTTAACTGGAGCAGAATGCATAGAAATCACTAGATTTTGTTGCCTGGGTGCCTTCTTAATTGATCAGCAGGCCCTCTAATGTTTTGTACAGTACAGTAGCCTCACAAGTCACTGCGTGGCAAAAAGATTCTGAAGTCAAACGGGAAACGTTTGCACCCTGCTTAACTCTTGCACATGTCACAGTGCAGAAGCTGCTTCGCTTTCAGCTTGGGAAACTTAGGTTATACAGTGACCTAACCAGCCTCCCCCAGCTACTTGCCCACAGAATAACTGACATTCCAAATAATTCACTGACTGGAGTGGCGAGCAAACCCAGTGTGAGGCATGCCCTCAGGATTTGGATCCATCGGTGGGGCTGCCATCTTTCGGAGTGTTCCTATCACTCTGCTGCTGCAGCTTAACAGCCGTGCAATAAGCACAGCTCGGCTAGGATAATCAGGATAATGACATCAGGACAGACGCTGGGAAAAGCTGTGACATCATCTGTTCCTTTCCTGAGAGAATCCACTTGGGCTCTGACACCACCAAGAACCATTCGAAGGGGCTGCGCTGTCCTGGGCAGGATAGACGCACTCTCTAATGGTTGACCAGGGTCACTGAGGCACCAGAACGTGGCACCATCAGTATTGTCTCCAACCTGTACTTTCCCTGCAGAATGAGGCAGCATGTGGACTTGAGACAGCCGCAGCCGAAGAGCTGCTAAGCTGCTGCCTTCCATCTAGCCATTTCCCAATTTCTTTGGTACAGTAACAAAAACTTCATTTTAAGCCAAAGGGATGCAGTCCTTAGCAATCTGGCTTTTAAAGAGTGAGGTGGGAGCTGAAAAGGTAATGGCACAGCTGCAAGGGGTTGGGGCCATTGCCACAGGTGAGAATTAGGCTCTGGCTATTACCTGGCCCCCAGTCTATGGGGCACTGGCTGCACATCCTTCCCATCCAACCTTTCTTGAAGGTCACTTTGAACACTGGTCCCTTGGAGGACTTTTCTTTCCTTGGTTGCTGACTGTTAAATGAAATAGCAGCTTCCGATTGGAGGAGTTACTACAGTAAAGTCACATGATGACAGCCCCATCTCAGACAAGGCTGCTGCTGCCTTATTCCTGGCTTTTAGGAGCTCATGGATGCATGTGGTCCGGAAGACCAGTAACCACGCTTTTTTTCCCAACGTCAGAGGCCTTGGCAGGGTGTTTGGCATTAAGGAGGCAGGTTCTCAGTAAGTTTTTGTGAAATGAAGGAGAGGGGCTTTCGGCCAGAGCCTACTTTGTGTGTACACATGCTAAGGCCAGCATTTTGGGTAACTAGGGGAAGGGAGAGCTGAATGGGTTTCTAGGACCCCGTCCTGGTTCCACTAGCTTGCTGCTAGTTCGTACCTCATGGTTTCTCCGGATGTAGAGCTATCAGCTCCTATCAACCACATGGATATCCAAAGCCATGGTGCAGCTGGGCTTGCCCCTCTTGGTTTTCTATAACGTCCTAATGTGTACGTAAGCCATTAAAGCCAGCTTTCTGCTCCAGAAAATTAGATGACCCAAAGAAACTCCTCCCTCAAACCCACCTTTCATCTGCCCCTTTGAACCTGCAATGGACTCTGGACTGTGGACCCAGGGCCTTTGCAGCAGTCTCCTGGCCAGTGCAGTGAAGGTATGGATGAGATGAGTGAGACCAGCAACTCCCAGGCCAGGCAGAGCAGGAGCAAGTGAGACCCTGGCTGTGCCTTCAGCAGCTCTCTGGTCTCTCTGATGGGCTTTTCTTAAAACAGAGGCCCAAGATTACCACCCATTAATTGCAAATTGACCTAGTGAACAAATTCCATTGCCCAACCATTTCTTGTGGGCTGTTGCTGGTTGGTCCATGCAGGAGGTCAGTCCCAAGAGCCAGCCGACCGGTGGTAGTTAATACACATTGAGATGAGTCCACTGACTGGGGCGGGGCTCCTCTTGGGTTCTTGTGGAATCACTTGTCTTTTAGTAAAAGTCCTTTTCAGAATCTAATGAATTAGTTCCTTACATTTTCAGTTCATCTTCTGTGGAACTCAATTACCTGGGTCATGGCGCAATCACCTTACCTGGAGAAGAAATCCTGCTCACTGTATAGGTCACACATAGAAGACTTAAGTGCCAGAGGCTGTCGTGGCTTTTATTCAGTGAGGGTGGGAACATGGAGCCCAAACATGAGGAGCACATTTTAGAAGCCCTCTCTCAAGAATTTAAGAAAAGTTGTCCAAGGTAAAAAAGAAACAGGAAATCATCCTGACTCTTGCCCATTGGGGCTTCTCCAGAAATGTCACTGTGATGGCAGCTCAAAGAGAGTACAGTGTCACAGACTGGCCTCTTCCCAGGGGCTGAATAGCACGTTCTCCTAAACACAAACACACACCCACACACATGGTCCTTAAACATGTGCCAGGGCTTCTATGAATAAAACTTGCTGTTGCTGACTCTCTTCTCTCTCAACCTGAAATAAAAACAGATTCACCACCATCAGCAGGGCGTGATAGACAGTCTCCATGCTGGTGACATCTCTCTAACGATACGTTTGTGGGCCACTCATAGCTGCATGGTACAGGACTGGGAATTAGGAGTGGGGCTCTAGGGTCCTGGCAAGACACTGAGGCTCACAGAGATTCAACCATCTCCCTGGCCAAATGGGATCACAGGTTCTCGGCAGACCAATGTGAAGACGGAACACAGCAGTGAGGGCTTAGCACAGTGCTGCTTGTTGGGCGCTGTTGACAGCATTTACATCAGGACAACGCTTGGTTGCTCAGGACTGTCTGTCCCTCCGCTCATCGCATGCATGTCACACAACCAGAGGCCTCTCCTCAGGTTAGGGGGAGGGATTCTGCCCTGATCATAAGCCTCTGGACTAGCCCCAATCGGGACTCCTTAAAGTTAGAGGCCATTGGGGCGGGGGTGTAGCTCAGGGTCCTGGCCTAGCATGTAAAAGGCCCTGGGCTCCACCCCTAGCACTGCAGAAATAAAAACCAAGAAAAAAAAAAAAAAAACAGGGATCATTATGAACTTTCACTATAGGAAATGTCCTTCTAGAGAAGACAGTTCTACTTCAGGAAGTGGCAAGTGCCATAAGTTCACTTATAGAGCAGAAAGAATCAGAGTCAAGGGTACCAAACAATTTCTAACACTGGCCCCAGAGGCTGGATATGGCTGTCCAGAGGCCCCAGGACTGCAGGAGAGGGAGGCCACCCTACCTCCGGTTGCACTTCTCCTGGTACAGCTGGAGCTGGTTCTCATTGACGGTGAACTCCTTAACCAGGGCGTCTCGGTTGGCGTTGCGCAGGTTCTGGTGCGTGTCATACAGGAAGAGCTGGTTGTTCAGCTCCTCTTGTCGCCTCCGCAGCTGGCGACAGGAGGAGTAAAGTTCCTCTTCACTCTCCTGCAGAGGAAGGGAGAGAACCACCATGCGGTGACCACATCTTTCAAATATACGTGTGAGACGTCGTGTCTCACCATGCGCCCCAAAGGGAGCTGGTGGAAGACGTTTTGCAACTGTGATTATCCTTGAAAAACCAGGGCCTCTGTTAAGCTGAGATGAGACTCGGGATCGTCTCTGACGTTGAAAGCTAGCAGTTTCGAAGGCCTTACCATGAAACACGGAAACATGCATTGCTTAGATCCTTTCTAGCTAAGTGCAAGGTGTCTAAAGTGAAAGCCCAAGAAGCATGGGATGGGGACAGAGGTGGGCAGGGGGCACAGAATTTAAGATCATATGTCGAGAGACAGAGTTAGGGTTGCAATGCCAGGCGAGGCCAGGCAAAAGGAACAAGACCCTATCTCAAAAGCAAGTAGGGCTTTGATATGCATATGTGTAATCCCAGCTACTTGGGAGGTGGAGGTAAGAGGATTACAGTCCAAAGCTGGTCCAAGGCAACAACAAAAAGACGAGGGTGTGGTTCAAGTGGCAGATTGCTTGCCTAGCCAGCATGAGTTCGATCCCCAGTACCCTCAAATAAATAAATGCATACGAGATATATATATATATATAGCCTTTGGTCTAAAGGAATGCTGCACCCGGTCTGACCCAGATCTCTGAAGCTTTCTCCATATCACCAAGAACACTGTCTCTCTCACATCTGTGCGTTCACCGAGCAGCACTGTTCTTTGAAAACTTCTCCTTTGCGTCCTCAACGTGAATGCTTACTGCAAAAGACCAAGTTTTTGGCCTGCCTGAGTTTTCGACATGTAAGCCTAACCACGTCTAGCTTTTGGGTTAAACTGACAGCTGTGCAACTCTTCCTTTCCCTTAGAGGACACCTGGAGGACATTAATTGTGGCTCCGGGAACAGGGAGCCCTGAGGAGAGACAGGAACCAGCCAGTCAGTGCCATGTGGGAGCCGTCACAAGGCCCCAAAACAACAAGGGTAAAATCAAAGATCCCAACGTACGTGTTGAAATGTTGCGGGAATTGCCAACATGGGACACGGAGATGAGGACACATGCTGTTGGAGGGCAGCAGCGATCTGCTCCCCAAACATTCAATTTGTAAAACATGTAACATGCAAAGCATGATAAAACAGTTTGCCCACATAGGTCAGGCATAAATGTTTTATTATTTCCTAGGTAACTTGTCCTATTTAGCAAATTCTTATTTTCAAGTACTGAGCATTTTCAACGTCTTGTTTTTCAAGTTTTATCAGGTTATAGCCAAGTGATGACATACGAGATTTTTAATGTGTTTTCTTTCTGACCAAGTGTACAATCCAGTTCATAAGGCTTCTGAGACAAAGAAGTCAACAGAATACACTGTCATAGAATACAAAGCTGTATATCTCTTAAGTCAAATTATTTTGAGCTTATGACTTGACCTTTTATATACCAGGTTATGCAATGATCAAAGTTTTTTCTTTACACACATAAAGGGTTTTTTTGTGGTACTCGGGTTTGAGCTCGGGGCCTTGCACTTGGTAAGCAAGCACTTTGCCAGTTGAGCCGAGCCTCCAGCCCTTTTTTGCTTCCAGGTTATTTTTTACACAAGGTTTTGTATTTTGGCCAGCCTGGACAGCGAACCTCCTAGTTTGCCTCCCCTGGAGCTGGGATCATAGGCACCTGCCACCAGTTTATTAATTGAGATAGCGTCTAGGCTGGCCTTGAACAACCCTCCTGAGGAGTTAGGGTTACATGTGGGCACCACCATGCACGGCTGAAATTTTTTCTTTATTTCATCTTTGTAGAAGTTTTTTCTTTATATATTTTGGTGCCTGCTGTTTCCCAATGACTCTCATCCTTTGTAATCCAAGCATTCTTAGTCATTACAAACTTTTGCTCTTAATATTAGTTATTACTCTGATGTTGCTGTTTGTTTTTGAGACATGGTGGGCTCAAGCAATCTCTCTGCTTCAGCCTCCCCGGTAGTGAGGACTACAGGCATACACCACCATGCCCCACTGTCTTTAGGACTTTAACTTTTCTTCCCCAATTTTACCAGTATCAGAAAATCCATTCCTGTTTGCTTGGTTTTTGCCTTTCTTTATAGCTTGCTTTTAGGTTTCTTATAAACACAGCACCATGGGATTTCTTTTCTAATAGAGTTCAGCTCTTATCCGTGTCATTTTGATGACTACATTTTTCTTGGCTTTTGCTGCTTCTGTGATCCTTTTCCCTATTTTTATTGTCGGTCAAGTTTCTATTTAGTTCATTTTTTCTTATTGCTTTTGTTCTTCAATTCTTGAAGTGGTCCTGTTCAACAATCCCAATTAAAATGACATTTTTCTTTTATATCAAAATATCAGAATGGACCCGGCCCTGGGCAGGGTTCTTTTATTTGCCTTATTTTCAGAACCGTTTATTTTACCTTTTAGCATGTAGGTTTTTCTTTTTAGCCTTGGATTATGGAATTTTTCATTATAGCTTATTTTCTGTTTCGGGAATCCTTATTCGACACTAATCATGACAAAATCTTAATGAGTGTAAGATGTACTTGTGCTACAGAATTTGTTATTCTCTGGTTTCCCCTCTCTGTACATCCCTGTCTAGAAGATTGTCTTCTAAATAAAAGACCACTGGTTCAGGGGCTGCCTCGAGGTTCTCTTTTTGTACGATCCATGCTATATCTGAAATCTTGATTTCTATAAATGCATTTCCATTGCCTTGACAGGCAGCTGGCCGGGCACACAACTTTCTCTTCTCTTCCTAGCTTGGCATCCTACTGTCTTCTGGGTTTTAGTGCAGATGAGGACAAGGCTGACATTAGACTTGCTTTTCCTGCTATCAATCTAGTGTGCTGGCAAAGTGTAGGTTTTTGCTAAAATATGACCGGGTCTGTGGACGTGTTTGCTATTCTAACCCCTCCTGGGACAAAGTGGGTCCAGTCACACAGCACATCAGACACAATTCCCTCTGTGAACTCAGTAATGGATCACAGCCCCTCTTTTCTTTACAAAGTCCATCTCACAGGGCTATTACTCTGGATCAGGAGATGCTTCTTACATTTCATCTTTATTTATAAAATGAATTTCTGAATTCAAGAAACCAGGGATTTTTTTCTGTTTCAAATTCCAGAAAGCCTTTTTCAGTGATCACTTGGGTGTCTTTGAAAGCACCTATGATTCATGTGTTATGGCTACACTCCAACTTCCAGCCACCTATTCCAGGTGTACACGTGCACATGGTCTTTCTTCCTCTCATCACTGTGCACCAGTTGTTTTCATTGCAGCTTGTGGTTTTGTCTGTCTATTCAGTGATCACATCGGGTTGGGCCTGGAGTGGTAAGCACAACAGTTCTTTTTTGGAGCCAGGACTAGGCAAACTTTAGCTGGGGAGGCACAAGGAGGGCCTTTCTCTGTATCTCCAGTCTCCCCAAGTGGAAGAATATCTTTTTCAGCCTTAAAAATGAGAACCAGCTCAGCTCTGGAGTATTTTTCCCAATCCTCCAGGATTCTAGAGTGTGGGCTGGAATTCTAGAGCACATGTCTGCTTGACTGAGCCTTCACCTACAAGCCCTGCAAGCTAGCCTTCCCAAGGAGCCGCTCCCCCTCCTGCACCTGGCTCCCACCCAGCACAGAGCACAACACAGTCCCCCCAGGATCACGTCTCCAGAAATCCCAGGGAGGCCAATTTTCTCAAATGTACCTTCCAGGCACCACCTGCTTGCCCTCCCCACTCCCCAGTTCTAATTAATGGCAAGACTGAATATAACACACGAACCTAAAAGAAACTATTTACTTTCAGAGAACAGTTCAACATGGATCACAGAAAATGGTCTTTTGTTCTTTGATCTATTATTCCATTGCTAAATACCTAGCCTTAGGTAATAATTTTAATCAAAGAAAGTTACATGACAACCTTTATTATTTATGAAGTAAAAAACTGCCACTAATTAAAGTGTCCATCAGTGGGAGAGTGGCAAGCAAGTTAGGGACCAACAGCCGATGAAGTAAAGCATGATGGTTTTTGAAGTCATAAATGCTTAAAGCCATCTGTGAAATGGAGAAAGGGCACACGTATGAATCCAACTTCAGAAATATCACATGCAAAAAATTACAAGGCAAAGGAAATACATCAAGATGTAGCAAGGGTTTTACATACAGGCTGTTTATGGGTAATTTTTTCCAATCCCCCCTCCTTTTTTACCCTGCTTCTCAAATTAAATATAGTAGGTAATAAAATGGTGCTAAAAATACTCTTTAAAAACCGTATATTCAGCTAACAAAGTAAAGGACTGAGAATTGATAAAGTAATTGTGACATGTAAATGGCTTCCTTGGAAGAGGCTTAAAGTGCTTACTGACAGTTTTCTGGGGCTTTAAACTCTATCTCAGCAAATGTTTTACGAGTGAACTCCATCTCAGCCCTCGCTGGATCAATCACTTGCTCAGACAAGGCTTGCTGGAGGCTGTTTACCAACGTCTCTCCCCAGCAGCCAGAGGATATGATGATAAATACAACAAGTTTTGACCCTGGGCATCAAGGAGAAAGCCCAGGTCCACTGAGCACAGCCCAGCTCAGCTTCCCAGAGAGGCCCTCATCCCAGTGTGGACAAAGATGCCAAGAGGTACCTGTGAGTGCCAGAGAACAGGTGACAGATGTGGAATGAAATAACACCTCAGGAGCCAGCAGCTGACATGCAGTTTGCACACACTCAGACAACACTTCCACTAAAACTCTTAGAGCAGATTTGTAAGACAACTCTCCACGCGAAGTACCCCCACCTCGCCCCCCATGCACGACAGTGGCACCCACACATCGGGCTTCCCTCATCAAGTCAGTCAAATCTGGATAAACACAATTTCCTTTTAATTACACTAATTTTCTCTGCCGCCAGAGATACCTCATCATTTGAATTATTTATAATGGTCCTGGGTTGTTTACGACAGCTTTGCAGAAGTGTCTTGACAAATGCTATACACTATCACCACCGAAACTGTTTTTATCACTTGGTTTTCCCATGAAATGGCTGCAGGTGGGCTTTCTGCACACAGAGGGGCAGCGCTGGTTCCTTCCCCGGGCAACAGAAGGACAGATCCTGTGGCAGGCTAGGAAGTGAACCAAGCAGAGGGTCTTCGAGCTTTCTCACTCAATGCTTTGGCTGAGGGCTCAGATGTCATAATTTTACCAGCTTGCTAAATTAACTGATCCTAAGCAAATAATTGAGATTAAAGGAAGGAAAGGTTGCCCACGTGAAGATGTGCCTAACAGCCTTACATCTGCAAGTGGGTTCCACCTAAACACCCAGCCTGGACGGATGCTGAACTTACGCTCAGGCTCCTTGCTAGAAGAATCCAATAGCAGGAAAGTTCTTATAATCTCACTTTAGGGTAGTGGTTCTAGCAGGGGACATTGCCATCCAGGAGACACCTGACACTTAGGGTGTCACTGGCCATGGCCAAGAAGAAATCACACACACACCTGAAGTTGTATGAACTGAAGGAAGCAAACAGACCCAGTGCTAACTTTCTCTAATCCCCTCTCCCCGCACAACCCAAGCTGCAGTTTTGTGATTTGAGTTTTTTAAAAAAACATTTGTACAAAAAAATTATTTTGACTTAAGTCTTTAATGAACTTAATCATTCATCTCAGTAACAAAAAACTGACACATACATAATTCAGTCTAAAAGAAGAGAGATTTCTTGGTAACTAGCTTACTGGCCATGGCACAGGAAGGAAGTTATATAAACTTTCCTGACCAAGTATTTCTATCACAGGAAGAATCATGGAAGATGATTTTTTTGGGGGCCTGTAATTTAAGATTCAAGTGAAAATTATAATTTTCATATAAGCATTTCATTTATTTTTATAGTTCAACATTTTAAATTTGTTCCAAACTGAGCCAGGCACAGTGGCTCACGCCTGTAATTCAAGTTACCAGGGAGTCCATATATATAGGAGGATAGCAGTCCAAGGCTGGTCCTGGGCAGAAAGTGAGACCCTATCTGAAAAATAACCTACAAAAAAAAAGGGTTGGGGCTCAAGTGGTAGAGTGTCTGCCTAGCAAGTGCAGGGCCCTGAGTTCAAACCCCAGTACTGTCAAAAAAAAGTTTCAAGCTGTAAAGCTCTCTGTTATCCATCCCCTTACTTCTTTTAAGATAGAATTTTATCATCATGGGATTATTTTACACCAAAAAGTGGTGCCCTTGGCTGTCTAGGGTTTTCTGGCCCCCAACTCCTGTGCCTTTTATGTCTCTGCTCCTGCATTTGTACCCTCTTTCATCTTAATGCTTCTAAAATGCTGTGGAGTGGAACACCACAAAGGTTGCTAAAACTGAGCATGGGGAAATGGTTATGCAGAAAAGCCTAATGTTCTCTTTGAGTCAAGTTCATGAATTTTTACTGTGTGGACAATTGCTGTGGCTGTTAAAGGCACCCCCACCCCTTCCCTCTTCCTCCACGTCTAAAGGTTCTCAGCTGTATCTGGAAATTGCCAAATGAACAATTCTAAATCACTGTTTAGTCCTTACAGCCAAAGGAACATCACAAGCTATGAATTTTCTACCCAGAAAACAACCCGGATGAGAAAACAAGATTACTACCCAGAGGCAAAACCAAGTCTACCTCAACTCCCCTGGGATCCAGAACCACAGAACTCATCTGGCCCATGCCTAGCTTTGTGATTTGGGGGGGAAAAAAAAGAAGAAGAAGAAGAAAAAGGTGGGGTGGGTGCTGGTGGCTCACCTCTATAATCCTAGCTACTTGGGAGGCTGAGATCAGGAGGTCACAGTTTGAGGCCAGCCCAAGCAAATAGTTTGCAAGACTCCCCCCATCTCCAAAAAGGAGGTTTGGCTCAATCACTAGAGCACCTGCTTTGCAAATGTGAAACCCTGAGTTCAAACTCCAGTTCCCCCTGACAAAAAAAAAAGAAAAAAAACAGATCTTGGAAAGTAGATTGTTGGCTGCAGAATCACTGTAATATCCAATTCTTCTACCACCAAATCCAAGTCCTGACCACCCAGAGACCTGTTCTGAGCAACCCTGGTATATCCTTTAATACTACTCAGTGAGGCCAAGACCACCCAACCTGGCTAATTCAAAGGAGAATCCAGGTGGGGTGTACACACCTGCAACCCCAGCACTCAGGAAGACCACATGCCATCCAAGGCCAACCTGGGCTGCACAGTGAGACCCTGTCTCAAAATACACACTCAAAAACCAAAGAAGGGACTAAAAATCTTCAAAGCCTTGATAAACCAAAAGGACTGAAAGGAAGCGCCTTTGGGTAATACAGAGAGCCGCCCACCAAGGGAAGTGGGGTCCATGCATTTCTTCCCCACACCAAGACAGGACAGGTCCTTGGTGGATGTTCTCAGTTCCCTTGAAGGGATAACCAAAAAACAATAAGAGGGTAGAGGATCCAGAAAAGATGGCATCACCTGGCCAAGCCCTTGTGAAATAAAAGGATGTGGAGCTCGGAAGGACCTTCGTCCCTTCCAAGTCGACTGCTCTCCAGAACCACAATGCACACTCCAAGAAAGGATGTGCCCTGGGAAAACCCAGGGCCTCTGGGGAATTAGCAACACAAGGCATTCTTCTTTTAGAATGGCTCATGCTTGAGATGGTGTGGGTTAAGCTCATCAGCCCACAGTAGTCATAATTCATCTCCACCCAAACTTGACCGGCTGGTATTTGTCCACTCACCAGGACTGGCCGCATCTCACAGAAAACCAGGAGGGAAGCCAGTTCAATGTCTTCACTGTGCCCATTCTTCAGAGGAACTGATCTAAACCCTGCAGTAGAACAGGCGGGGGAAACACAAAGGAAGGTGATTAACATCAGACCTTAGCTTTCTTGGAATACACAGAAAAAGTGCCCAAAGAGTAAAGAAGTCACGGTGCCATGCTGAGGGCTAGCCTTCTGGAAGCCAGAGGTCCTGTCCTGAAGGTCAGGTGGGAAGGCTAGCATCCTTGACGAGTCCACACAGGGAGTGAAGTTAAAACCATATGCCATCTAGCAATGCAAATGGGTCACTCGGAAGACATTAAAACCCATAGAACATTCCACATTGACTTTAGAGTGACTGCAGCTGTGGTTCAATTCCTTAAATACTCAGGAGACCAAAACACTCCAAAGGGTAATGAATCCTCACAACTTTCCCCCACTTGGGACCTGACACAGACCGGGACCACGGAGTGTGCTCTATCGGTAAAGATTTCCAATCACCCCATCCCGTGGCAGTTCACATGGCATTGATCATCCTGTCTGGAAGACGTTCCGTATTTCCAATTCCAACCAGGGTTTGACAGGCCTTTGAATTTTCATTTTTACTTAAGGCATACAGGGAGTGATCTGGAGCTGACCTATTAGTAATGCCCTAAGGCAACCCAACTCAAAGGTTGCTGGTTTGTTTGCTTATTTTAATCAAGCAATATAAGAGCACAGTAAAAATGGGACTCACTTCCACCCAAATCTACCCCTACCCATCATTAAGTCTTTCCCAAACTAGTCTATGCAGATGTTTGGGTTTCTTTTATGAACAGTACCACATAGTTTGCATTTGGCATTGTCTATGGTCATCCACTCTGTGTTCCCATTTATATTCAAAGCTTTTTATTTACAATTATTTACTGTTTCGCCAAGACAATCCATGCTCAAATTAGGGGTTTCCACCCTCCCATTTCCTGAGTGCCTTCCTCCAGCTTTGGCTGCTGTCCCTCAGAGAACATTGTACACTTTCAGTCGCTTTATCCCTATAAACAATGCATCTCTATCAAATTTGTCGCTCTCTACTGCTTAGGATAAGGAAAGGGACTTGCCTTCCCAACCCTTCCTTCCCCCAAGGTGCTTTATGCTTCTGCATTGACACGGGGTATAACATTTGCTGTCCGTCTTCTAACCAAGGGACGCTTGCTTATATGCTATTTTTCAAAAATTCAAATATTCAGCTAAGTATTAAGCTTGTACTGTACTTGATCAAATAGTTATCTATCTTTACAACTCAAAGCAAGACACAGACATCGATACTCTTTCTGCTGAATATGCACACATCTCATTAACCCAAGCTCAATATTACATCTAGGGTTCCAATTTTGATATAAAACTTATACACAATGAAATGTGCAAATACTGCTCAGTTCTCACCATCTTTTTACTGAACCTCCCTGTGGATGTCTTGGTTAACTAAGTTTGTCCTCCAGTTTTCTCCAAAATGTGCTCATGGGACATACATCCCTGAATTGTGCATGTGTAAAAGCATCTGTCCTTTGATTCTAACATTTAGTGACAGTTTGGGTATACAACTCTCAGGTTACACTCTTTCCCTGTAGGATTTGGGGGACATTGTAGAGAAGCTTTCTGACCTATTTCCACCTCAGAGACGATGTGACTTTTGTTGGTGGTCTCTGGATAAATAATGAGAGTTCCTGCAGTCCAGCCCAGAGTCACTCCAACTTCAGTGTAGATATGAATCACCTGAGAATCCTGTTAAAAGCAGATTGTGACTTAGGGTCTGAAACTCTGCATCTCTGAGCTGCACCGTGGACAGTAAGGAAGGAGTCGGTTTGGTGTTGATGGACTGCTAGAAGCAACTGGAATGCTGAGTGCTCGTGGTGGCTGGGGAGGCTATGGTAGCTGTGCAGGGCAGGGCTGGTGACTCTGAGTTCAGAGGCATGAGCTCTGCCCTGTGGTCAGGTGTCTCCAGCTCTGTGTACCTCCTCTCACTACCCAACTCGCGCTTTTATGTTCTGGAAAGCCTTTCACCTATACTAGAGTTAACGATGAAATGTGCTTGTGAATTTCACCAAAACAGGAATTTTATTTTTCTTCTGGTTTTTTTTTTTTCCCATGGGGGAGGAGGGAAATTGAGACATCATTTAAAGTAATATCAGTATTTGGGGCTTGTAGCACCCAGTGGAAAGAGGAAGCCTCACAAGAGAACCTGCAGACTAGAAAGAAATAGGCTCCAAGGTGTTCAGCTTTTAAAAGCAGAGATAATAATCCCTTCACAGGATTACTGTGAGTATTAAAAGAAAAAGAATGTAAGGAACCCAACACGGTAAATTTCCTTCCCAGCCCCAGCTGGTTTGAAAGCGTAAGTTCATCCCGGTGACAATGGGTAAAGTCTATTATCAAGTTCAGGAGGCCCTCCAGGCCTTACGCACAAAGGGACTGTTGGTTTATCTCATTCCTCCCAAGAACATGGATGTGCCGGCAGTGATAAGTGATGGAAAAGAGAAAAAGCTGGACTGGGGGGTGGAGGGGAGGGTCACCATTTTAATAACTTTCAAATCTCCAAGACAAAAGTCATCTTCCAGTTGAAATGACACTCCAGCCAGGCACTGGAGGGGCTCCTGCCCCCAACCCCCGCCACCTCCTTCAAGAAGATAAGAGAGTGCAGGAGCAGGCTCAGTTACCGTAACTAGAAGAACAGGAATGTGACGATTTATCAAAACCACACTTCCCACCTAGCAGCAAGCAGTGTCCTTCTTGAGTTTATTTATTGGGCAAATCTGAAAACAGCACAATGCAAATTAGAGACCTGTCGTTTAACCACTGGGTTTAAAGTAGTTCACTGCGTCGGCAAGTTAACCAGTGTGGGTTGTCAAATATGAGGCCTCTGGGATTTGCAAATGAGTGGAGTATGAAAAAGGCTATTTCTAAAGTGCTAAAAAGAAATCAGAAGATTTCAGTATTTTCCCAACTTCTCACTTAACCTCCATACTTGGTGGTGTTCAATGAGCAGCCGGGACCCAGGCTAGGGCTGAAATGATCAGATTTAAGACCGGGAGAAGTTGAGGGAATAGCTGACATGGTCCAAGTTCGGCTCTGCATGAAGCCCAAAGTTTCCCAACAACACAAAAGACGGTATTTTTATTTAAACGACCAAAGTGGTATTAATCTCTTGAAAAATGATTCTTAGAAAAACAAGGGAACAGTGACCTCCTGAGGAATCCAGAAGGATCTCCAGCCAGAAGACTGCATCAGGCATACTAAGATGGAGGAAATTCAGGATCCATGGCCTGGTTGTTGAATATCATATCTGAAATCCATACCATCCAAGGACAGCCACCTTCAGACTGGCTCCTCTGGTAGGTGACAGGCCCTGGGAGCAGCACCAAGACCCCAGGTCCTGAATCCCCTCCCTGGAGGAATCTCTCTCAGTGGCGGGGGTCTCATTGATCTAGGAGGCAACATGGAAGCCTCTCGTGTGACCCAGCTTGACTCTGTCCCAAACATGGAATGGCACCTTATAGGAATTTGATGATTTTGTTCACCATGAAAGAAAATCATAATAATTGAAGAAGTAACTCAATCCCCCCAGTTTTATAAAGGAAGATGGTCTATTCTAAAAGCTTAAGAGAGCTGGATCTAAGGTTGTAACTCAAGCAGCTGCTATGGGTTTCTTCCCAGCACCACACCAGCCAGGGAGAGAGAAAGATATGAGCCCAGCCCTGGCTCACGAAGGGCAAGCTGCTTGTAACCTTTCAAAAAGAAATCAAACTACAGGTTCAGGTTGACAATCGCTCCAATTCTGCCCAGACATCTGACTTCAAAGGGCACAGCATCTCACTGCCTTCTTCCCTGACACCATGTGCTCAATGTTTGGCTAAGAGGACCCCAGCTCTCCAAGTCAGCCAATCAGTTCTACCGTGATTTAATCAAAACCAGGAGAAGTTTTCTTGTTCTTTTTAAAGCCAGCAGGAAAGACCAAAGCACGATGTTCACCCCAACTGGCCCTCACCTGATTTGATGCCTTTAATGGGATATGTGGCATGAGCCAGGAAGTTAGGGTCACTGAACATATCTTCCTCATAGACCACAAAGCGCAGAAATGCGAGGTTGGGGTCATAAATTTCAAACGTCACCTTCTCCTGCGTTGCAGCCCAGACAGGGCTTAGGCCGTTATCATCTGGAAAGAGACAGAAGCTCGTTAGAGGTTGCACTCGTCCTGCTCCCTCCTGGCAAATGGGTCTCTGCATCCTTTAGCTTTGAATTCCTTAGCAACCATGTAAACAAAACAGATTAAGTACACCAAGGTCTAAGAAAACCTGAGAGTGATCTTTTGCCGTTTTTCCCCAGGGCACAGGCCTGGCCCTCAGTGAACAGAGGAAGAGGCCACCTTGCCCTCTGCTCACCTGCTGGGATGTGAGAGGAAGGCAGGCGGAAGGCAGAGCAGAAGCGGTGGAGTTAGGAAGAGATAACGCGAGGAGGGGTGAGAACACCTGAAAGCTGCACCCCTGGGCCCGATGATGGGAGAAGGCTGAGGGTCTCTAAGGAGCCAGGCATGCAGCAAACCTGCCAGTTTAATTGGTCAGCACCTGAGTTGTTCCTGGGGCCTTAAAAGGTCCTCATTTCTCAGGTCCTTCCTGCATCCTCTTGGAAGAGCAAGTGTTTTATTTTAGGTGACTTTTTTTTTTTTTGCAGAATTCAGGCTCTTACCACTTGAGCCCCTCCCCCCATCCTTTTTGCTTTAATTTTTTCAGCTAGGGTTTCATGTTTTTGCCCAGGCTGGCCTCCGACTGTGATCTTCTTACCTCTGCCTCTGAGTAGCTGGGATTACAGCTATGTGCCACCATGCCTAGCACTCAAGTGCTCCCCGCTCTGTGGGCTGAGGTCACCCATCCTCCCCCCAGTGTCTCTGCTTCTTAGCCTTAACTCAGCAGCTATGAGGAAGGCTGCTGCACAAAGAAGTCTGTCCTAGTGCAGGGACAGAGCCTTGTCCTGCACTCCTGATTTGAGTTACCAGCAGACAACCACAGCACTGGATACAAGTCCAGTGATTTAGTAAAGTGGCCAGGAAGATGCCATGGGCACCACAGGTACATGGCATAGGAGGCTGAGCAGCTCCGCCGAGGCTGGCATGGGCAGAAGCAGAGACCCTATCTGAAAAACAAACTTAAAAAACCAAAAGGACTGGGGTGTGGCTCAAGGGCTAAGAGACTTGACTAGCAAGTTTGAGGCCCCGAGTTCAACCACCAGTATGGGAGGAGGGGAACAGCACATCACAAAATTCCCAACAATGAACAGGGTCCCGCGTGTGAGTCAGCTTATGTGAAGTTTAAAAGAAAAGGGCCAAGCTACTTACTCACAACTGTTGTCTTAAACTTGTTGTTGTCATACTCAGCTCCACAGATTTCCACCTCGACAAAGGGACAAGCAATACTTCGTCCAGGTTTGGGGAGATGGCGAGCACCAAGTACCTAGAACACCAAGGTAGGTTTTGGGATTCTCCTGGCAGGAGCTGAATTCGTCCCACACAATGCAGCATGGGTTTTACATGGTCTGGTTCAAGACCCAGACAAGTCCAAAGCCAGCCTCACTCAGGGGAGAAGGTGGCTTCCGGCTAAAACTGGACCTGAGCCCCAGGCCGTCCAGACACAGCAGGGGCTCTCTGCATTCCCCAGACCATGGATATGGTGAGAGAGAAGGAGGCAATCCTTCTTCTAGCTGGTCTTCAGTAAACAAGGATCCTTTTCCTTCCCAAAATTCTAAAGATTGGGTTAATTTAAGAAATCTCTGACTGGTAAAGGGGACCCCAAAGAGATAGTCACACCTCGCTCCACAGATGGCCGGGGCAGGTTGCCAAGATAGGTTTAGGAAAGTGCCTCACTCCTCCCAGAATGATCCTAGGGTGTCCTGCACAAGAAGTCCCAAGCTTATTGGGATGCTGGCAGTTTAAACCACATGACAGCATCACCTTGTCCTTACCTTGACTGTGAGTGTCATTAGGATCTTCCTCTGTGACTCAGGGGGCATGGGGTCATACTTCTCTCCGCGCATGCTCTCAGGCTGGAGGACGTAGCCCGTCCGCCCATTGAGCGAAAACAGCGCGTGGTTCATCTGCATGTATTTGTCTGGAAGAGGAGAGGGGTGTTGCTGTGGGGTGGCCCAGGATCACCACACCTGTGTGGAAGGTGCTGGGAGAAACAGTGATGGTGCCTTCCTAAAAGGATTTGGAACAATTGTCCAAGTAGATATCTGACATGAAGAAAATACGGTTTTTTTAAAAAAAAAAAGATCTCAGCCAGGAAAACACAAAACCATAAAAGACCAAAACCTACTGAAAAGGGATGTCTCTCAGTGATAAAGCATGTGCAAAAGCCCTGGATTCGATCCCCAGCACTGAGTTATTTTTAAAAACTGCATAAGCATTAAATTATTTTAGTTCAAATGACAGGTAAATATAGACATATAAAAATTTTAACCTCTAACATATGCTATAGAAACCGACCACGTTAGATAAATCAGGTAAGATGTAAATGCAAAGTCAGGGAAAAGCAGGTTAAGCTTGGTCATAAGAGAAGAGCCCTAAGAGGAGCTCAATTAACTGCAGGATAATAGTAATTTTCACCTGTCAGCTGGGCAAAGACTGAAAAGCTCAATAAACCACATCGGTGAAGTTATGCCAAACGAGGGCATTCAGACTTCTCCCAGTCGGCGTTCCCACCCAGTCTCCAGGAGGCCGCTGGGCATAGCCAGTGCTCAGCGGCTTTCTTTGGCACAGAGGGCATCAGAATGCAAGTGCCCATCTGAGATGTCCGCCCCACTGATGTGCATCCACATCTGTGATCAGTGCTCACTGGAGGCTCCAGGAGTCAGTGACGGGAAATGACCTGGATGTGCCTCCGTGGGGGAAGGGGTTGTCAGTAAGTGACGGTTCCATTCCTGGGAGCCCAGGTGCCTTAAAGAGAATGTAAGGGAGGCTTTAAGTAACAGTGTGCAATACTGTGACTTATATCCAAAAATGTGTATAGGTCAGTCTTCCTCATCACGTGACTATCCCTGGAAGAAAGTCTGTGCATAAAGCCCTCAGGAGGGATGGCCAAGAGAAAAGGAAGACATCCCCAAAGCAGCCATGAACACCTGGATCCAGCTGAGCCTGAAGCTACATGTCAACTCCTAGACTTTTTAGTTACATAAGCTAACGTATTTCCTTCTCTTAAACCAGACTTATCTTCTGCCTCATCCAGGAGCCCATCCATCCCCTTCCTCACTCTCAGTTAGTTTAGGGGCTTTGCACTAACTAGCATCTGGTTGAACCATGACAGTTCCTGAGACAAATCATCCATTCCCAGCCATCACACACCAGCCGCCCTGCTGCCTTTGCCCGCAGTGACCTGGCTACTTTAGGTCCTCTTTTACCTGGGGTCTGGAAATTGAGTGCCACCATCTGGGAGCCGCACAGCCACAGGCGGAAGGGGTCGTAGTTTGAAGAGTCGACTCTCTGTCCCTTCGGGTAGACGCGGGTCAGGCCCTTCTGGTTGTACCTCAGGAGATCGACGGGCTTCTGTCTGATGATGCTGTCAGCCTTCGTTTCTACGAAGGAGCGGATCTCTCGGAAGTCCGGGTTTTCTGCATGCGGAGAAGCAGGTCACCCTTTAGTTTGTGCCTGGCTCCGCCATCCATTTTCTGACTGCTTGGGGTAATGGCTCAGTGCTCAGGTGGCCAAAGGAAGCCAGCAATCTCTCCACAAGACACTTAGGGCTGTAGTGGCCATGGAATATTTTCCTTGGGCAAACTGGGTCCCACAACAAAAAAGGACCCAGTTTTCCCAGAACTTTTCAGTCTACATATACTGTCATTTATTTACTTTTTGTTTAAAACTACCAACATCCTTAAACAAGAAACAAAAAGAGTGGAGCACAGTTATAAAAAGAGATAAGGTGAAGACCATGGGAGGTGATGTCCCAGGAGGGGAGCCCAAGTGCGTGACGAGGAAAAGAACAGGAGTGGGGGGATGAGCTTCACCTTTGCTTAGGTGACGCTTCCTCTCTGGCTATGGTGGGACAGCTGAGCCTAGCTGGGGGTCCATCCTGAGTTTTAGACTCTTCCCCTGCAGGTGGAGGGCACAGGCACCTGCCTCTTGAGTAAGCGTTAACTCTGGGGTTCAGTGCTATTGCCCTGGTCTTCTGTCCTGGAATCTTGACTCTTGAGATCAAAGATATTGACTTACTCAAAGTAAAAGAGCAAGAAATAAAGTATGGAGTGGTATTATCAGTCTCGCTTCACTTTTTAAACCCTCCAGGGTAAGCTGAAAAATGATCCCCAAAGACGGTGAAAGAGACTTTGCAAATGTGCTTAAATGGAAGATTATTCTGGAAGATCCAGGTGGACCCACTGCAATCACATAGGTCCTTATAATAAGGAGATGGAGGAGGCTATGTGACCACAGAGGCAGAGACTGGAGTGAAGAGGCCACAAGCCCAGGACTGCTGACAGTCCCCAGAAGCTAGGAGAAACACAGAACAGATTCTGTCCTGGATCCTCTGGAAGGAGCATGGCCCTGGCTGACATCTTGACTTGGGGTCAGTGATACTGTTTTCAGTCCTCCAGGACTGTGTGTTGTTTCTGGTCACCAGGTTTGTTTGTGGTTATTTGTGACAGCTGCTGTGGGAAACTGGTCTGTCCTTTAAGTGAGTCTTGCTGCAGAGATGCCCCAAGGACAAACTCAAGCTGAGGCTACTGCCTTGAACCTTTAAGAATGAAAAGGAAACAGTCCCTCTGTCCTCTCTGACATCACACTCAAATAATAATGTTCGTCTCAGTGAAGGACTGAGTCCTGGGGAAGACTTACCCAGGTTGTCCTTGGTTTTGCTGGTTGGCTTGCAGTAGACAACCAAGTCAGAGAGCTCAATGGCAATCGACTGGTTCTTCTCCCAGTACTTCATGTTGTTCTCCTATTTAAAATCCACCATCTTCAGTTGTGGCTCTCGAGCCAGCACATGAGCCTCACCCAGCACTTTCCTCCCCACCCCTGCATGCTCAGGTCTTTCCTAGCAGTGAGAGCCTTTCTGTCCCGAACACAACTCCCCTCTCTCCCCTCTTTCTCCTTCCTCTTACTGCCAGAATTCTCCCCCAAGCTGTTTCTACCCAGGGTTGATAGCTGGCTCAGCTCTGCCACAGCTCTCAAAAGTAGACAGGGGACAGACAGGATGGCAGAGGAGGGGCTTCCATCACTACCCCACTCCTAAAACCACAGTGTTATACTTCATCAAACTCTAGTTCTCCAAATCCTTGTGGGACCTACAGACCATCTATCTGTCCCTGACACACACACAGCCTCCTCCCTACCACCGACTGCACATCTCAGAGGAGTGGACCCCCTCCTCTGGGCCCAGGCCATGGTGGTAGGAGGACCCGCCGTCTAATCCAGCTCCATCCTGGTAGGAATGAGCTTCTCTCTCCCCTACCACACCAGGCAACTCTCCCCAGATGCCATCAGCCCTTCACTGGCCAAGGGGGTCCCTGAGAAAGAAGTACATAATAACATCGACATTTGGGAGGAGCTAGCTTCCCATGCCAAGTGCTTGCTGGGTTTTGTTTAAGTCAGCCCAGCAACCTCTGAAAGGTAGAATTTATCATTTACACAGAGAGACTGAGTAGTTTACCCCAGGCTACAGAGCTGGTCGATGTCAAGACCAAATGCTTACGTTATTAGCCTGACCCAGAGTCCTCTGCTCTTGCCCCCCTCCCCGCCCCATGTAACAACCCTGCTTTGCCCCTTCCTCATCCTCGGCCCTGAGTCCTAGAGATGTCACTACGCCTCTTGCATGTGGCACCAGAGTTCATAGTCTGGGTCCCGCTGAACCACAGCCAATAACCTGTGGGTTCCTACCCTTTGATGCCCGCCCCTCCTGCCCCGTCCACTTAGCCCCACCCAAATCATCCCTGGTCTAGGAAGCCTTCATGGGGAACTCCAGCCAGGACTGGGAAAGGGGCATCACATTCCTGAAACCTTCCAGATCTCTGCCTGCCTCTCCTGGTCTCTGCCTTGCGCCATTCCTCATCCCATGGTCCTGTGCTAATTCCACTCGATGCAAATGCTCATCCAGGAATGGTGGCACACACCTGTAATCCCAGCACTCAGGAGGCTTAGACAGGAAGATCACACAAACCCACAGATTAGAGATCAGTCTCAAAAAAATTAATAATAATGCTCAGAACTTGTTCCCCACTTGTCCCTTGGCAGGAGGGCCCTGTGTGCATGAAGCGTTCAGGTGATGAGTGACGATTTGGTGAGGGAGAACATGGGGTCACGGTTAAGATGGTTCCAAATGGAGTCAGACACAAGTTCAAAACCTGGCCCTGCTATTTACTGGCTGTGTCACCTGGCCAAGACCTATAATTGATTCCTCTGTGCCTCAGTTTCCTTGACTGTGAAATGAGAGCTACTGTATGAATCTATAAGACCTTAGCATCGGCCATACATGCAGCAATAGAAGGTGGCTCCCAGGATGACCCTAGGACATGCCTCACTAGGCAAAGAACTGGAAAGTCATTCTTGAAAAATATGCAAACGTAAGCACCAATTCTTCATAGGAACGCCTCCACCCATTAGTGATGTAATTCCTAGGGTCAAAGTAGACCTTGGCAATGGCCAGCAAAAGAGCCCTTTATATGAGCTCCAGGGGCGGCCACATCACCAGGACACCTTAGAATGTGTTCACCCCCCCTTGCTCATCTGCCCACACCCAGCCTTTGCCACCCCTGCCAGGCTTCCTGAGTGTCCTTGGTTGCAAAGCAAGGCAGGGCAAGGGCAGTATGGCTAGGAGGATCACTGTGGACTGGCATGGCACAAGACACAAAGGTGTCAGCCAACAGTCAATAGTGAAATGCAGTCAGGAAAACCGAAGCCATGCTTCTTTCTAGAGCTCCAGCCATCTCTCCTGACCGTGACTTATAGTGCGCAATGTGCACCCCAAGGTAGTTAAGGGACTCCAGCAACAACCCAGCTCACCTTCAGTGATGACAGGACTGCTGAGAATGAGGGTGGCGTAGAACACGCCACCCAGATGTGGAAGTACAAAACACTGTCCTTGCTCACAAAGCCCAGAGCTGTGACAAGTCATGGCTTCACTTCTTTCAAGCCCAGCAGAGGAAAGTATCAGCTCAAGATGAAATACTAGTTCCAGGCTGGGGGAGTGGCTCAAGTGGCAGAGTGCCTGCCTAGCAAGCGTGAGGCTCTGAGTTCAAACCCCAGTATCGCCAGAATTGCTTGATACTGCTGGTGTTGCCCCTGGGGCTGCCTCACCAGGCGAAGTCAAGCACACTTCCTCAGGCTCTGGAAACTCACCAGCTAGAGGGATCTTAGTGCCCGGAGTTAGCCAGTCTGGAAATACAGACCCTGGGCAGGTTTTTGGGAATAGGAAAAGGAGAGGAGCCCCAGCTGGGAGCTGATGGCTCACCTCACACTGGCTTCCCACGGGTAGGAGGCGCCACCCTTGTCCCCACCTTCCTTATCCCACACCAGCCCCTCATGAAGGAAGGATGCACCAGGAGCAGGAATTCTGTCATCTCTGCCAACAGAGATTTTTTTAACCCTCCAATGCAACAAGACTTTAAAAATCATTCTCCTGAAATCTTGGCAAATGTAAAAACCAATTAAGGAGGAATGCAGATCAAAGGCAGTGAAAAGCAGCCTTGAACACTGAGGATTAATTTCACAAACCTTCACACAGCAGGAGAAGACATGAGGAAAAAGAGACGCTTCAAGTGCAATCACACTTTCTCCATTAACAGCAGAGAAGCTGGGCGTGGTATTACACGCCTGAAATACCAGCACTTGGGAGGCTGAGGCAGAAGAATTACAGGTTCAAAACCAGCCTGGGCCACTTAGCGAGAACCCCAGCCCACCCCCCACCCCGCACTGTCTCAAAAACAGAAAGACACAGAGAGTGCCAGGACATCCAAGGCCAAGGGGTTGGTCATCACTGTGCCTGCGCCCCACAGGGAGTGGGTACCGAGGACTTGCTATCTACTAGTCTCCAGTCTCAGCTAGAAGGACCACGATCTCAAGTCCTAGATGCTCAGGAGGTCATGTGCCATCAAGAAATGCCACACAGACAGAGATGACCACCACTGCACCAGCGGTGCGGACGCGCTGAGGAGGGAATGATTTTGTCAATGACCATCAGGACAGTGGCGCCCCCTGTGCCTCAGATATGTACTACAGCAGAGGCACAAAGTGGGGGAATGACACTTTGTCATTTGGGGAAAGACAGTACAGCCTGTTGGCCACAAGTTCAGAGTCTATCCCAAGTGACTGGTGAGACAAAATGGAAGAATCAGAAACCACGTGTAGGGACTAGGGCATGGCTCAAGTGGTAGACCACCTGCCTAGCAAGTGCAAGGCTCTGTGTTCCTAGTACCACAAGAAAAAGCCATCATGGAGAAAGACAGCAGGTCCCACCAGGGAGGATGCCCACTCCACGGGCCCTAAGGGTGTCAAGGGACCCCTGGTGGGCAAGGACTGGCCAAGTTGTAAGCCCCTCCCAGGGGAGAAAGAAGTCAGGCTTCTGGTTGGTGACCATCCCAAGTACCTTGGAGGGAAGAGACTCGACTATATCCAGAGGTCACCTGTGCCCAGAGAGCCAGGGCCCCAGAAGGCCAGGCCACCTGTACCCAGGTGCGCAGAGGCCTACCTTGGTGTCGATCTTCCAGGTGATCTCCCGAATGCTGTGGAACCACTCAAAGAGCTCCTCCACGCTGTCCGTGGCAAACTCCACTGGAGGGTCGCCCTGCTTCTTGGGCTCCAGGACGAAAACGAAAGGCTTCTGGTTTTTCCCGTGTGGGGCTTTCACTTTGGGGGAAGAGGAAAGTCCTCATCAGCCACAGGGGCCACACTTCACACTGCCTGCGTGGTTTCTGGTGACCCAACCCACCCTGCTGTGGCTACCATCACGGTCAGCGTGACAGGGACGTCTGCACTCTGCACACGTTACTACTGAAGGGTGCGGTGGGTTAAGGACCATCCAAAAAGATATGTCAAGGCCCCAGTCCCTGGGAACGCGGCCTTATTTATAAATAGTTGTTTGCAGACATAAGTAAGGGTCTGCAGATGAGTTGCTCTGGGTTTAGGGTAAACCCTAAGTCTAACTGTCCTTGCCAGAGAAGAGAGAGGGAGATTGCAGACCCAGACAGAGGAGAGAGGCCATGTGACGATGGGGGCAGAAAACACCAAGGCCTGCTGGCGGCTGGCAGATTTCTTACACACAGAGAAGGGATCTTACAGAGAGGAAAATCACGGTCGTGCGAGGGGAATTTTCTGAGTATCATTAGCAGCTATGGTTTCTGAGCTCTCAGATGTCAGGCCATGCTCTGTGCAGATTACAGGCTCTGTGGCTCATTTCATGCCCACTGGGGAGCACTGAGCTCCATGTGCCCATCTTACAGGAGACAAAACTGAGGCCAGAGAAAAAGCAACATACAGAAGTCACTCAAACCTGATGACAACACCCTGGCCCTGAGTCACGTCCTCTGCTCTTCAATTACAGGGATAATATGGCAAAGCAAACAGCACAGAGAAGAGGGAGATACAGAGCAAGGGACAATACAGGGAAGGGGACGATGCAAAGGACCTTAGCGACAAGGACCAAGTCCCCCATCCCAGCATAGCGACGCCATGGTCTCAGGGTCTCAGGCAGGTGTGTGTTCCCTTTGGGACTCAGTTTTCTCATCTGCGAATTGGAACACAGAACCCACCTTCCCACCTGCTGGGCTGATGCGAGGGCAAAGAACAGACAGGAAATCAAGGAAGGAAGCTGGCTTGGCAGCCAGGCAGAAGGTTCCCAGGACTGCTGTCACCTGAACCCTGGGGACCACACAGACTCCCCAGGGAGCGAGCCGCGGAGGCTGCGTGGGTTCCTGGCCCGTGTCCCCTCCCATGGGAGCGGCTTGCCACCTTCATCGTGGGCCAGCTCTGGACCCTGGCACTGTGTATGAGCCTGTGCTCGGCCCCGTCTTCCCTGCAGACCCCAAGGTGGCCAGGCTGGGTCCTGCTGAGGCCCAGAGAAGTGACAGGCACACAGTGCATGGCCTCGGAAGCCGAGACCCCCGACTCCATGCTCCTCCTCAGCTCGTGGAAACAGGGGCCGGTGACAATGCTGGTTCAAGACAACTCCTAACAGTCCCCAGGTGCTTACTAAAAGCCAGGCTCTGCCAGGCAGCCACACCTCAGCAGGTGTCACAGTGGACATCGCCACCATCAACCCCCCTGGTCCCCACACAGCCAAGGGAAGGAGCTGGCATCAAAGTCCAGGCAACACAGGATCGGTACCGGCCACCTCCCTGCTGGGGCAGCTCTGAGGTCAGGCGTGGGGAACTTGGGGGACCAGGCTAAGTGACAGGCATACGAACCGACATTGTAGGTATTGAGGTCCAAAATCCCCCGGCAGAGAGACCCCAGGGGGTTGTCTTCGATAATCTGTGAAGAAACAGGGCATAACCCACAGGAGTCACAGCACGAACAATAACAAGACCACCAGTTTCCCGAGCACCGCGTTCAGAGAGACGCTGCCCGCGAACTGTTTCAAATGCATTTCCGATCGCGCGACGTCCGCGGGGACCAGCGAGTGACAAGCTCGGAGATGACGGGGGCCGGACAGGCAGGAGCAGGTGACCAAGGGTCAGCGCTTCCTTTTCCAGTCCTCGCAAACGTGCCTTGTGAATTCTAGAACTCACTGAAGACACAGCCTAGACCCTTCACCCGACAGGGCTACGAAGTGGGACCAGCTCAAGAACCTTCTGTGGCTGCCCGTGTCCCACTCACTGGTGTGGTTTTTGAGGCTCTCTCAGCCCAGTCAGCCCTCTCAGCTCCCCCTCCCCACCGCACAGACCATCCTGGGGTCTCAGGAGAGCTGGCAGCACCGCACAAACCCCACTGCCTGTAATTATTCCACCACTCCCCACCAGGCTAGGTGGATGCAGGCAGTGACGGGGTCACACTTCACACTCTGCCTCAGCACGAGCAAGTAGGACATATCACCTCCCACCTGGAATTCCTTCCCACCCATCTCTCTCTACTGACTCTAATTGACTTTTAAAGCTCAAACATCCCTTCCTCCAAGAAGCCATCCCAGATCGCCCTGCCCACCACCCCTTAGGAAATAAATGTTTTGGGCTCTAGGGAGATCTTGAGTCCTCGTGACACAGATGTCATCCCTGGTGCAGTGAAAGTGGCTGCCCCCAAGCCTTCTGGGTAAAAGGTGGATGGGATCGGAAGCAAAGGACAAATCCCCATTTGGCCACTTTTGCTCTGGTCGGAACTCTGTGCACTCAGAGCCGCCCAGCCCAGCCCAGCCTGACCGAAACACAGCAGACTCGTCACAGTGACTCTCCCCCATGACGACTTGGGGACAATCCCCATTCCTGTCACTTTGCTGACTCCATGCTGCAGAGTCTCACAGACCACAACCAGCAGGTGTCAAAATTCAGCCCCCAGGATGCCCCCCATGGTGACGCTGACGGTGACACACCTGCTTCTCCAGCTCCTCCACATCGACTGTTGAAATGTCCTCGACGTAGTTGGACGGGAAATACTGCTGGAGCCGGGTCCCGTAGTCCCCTTTCCACCTGCGGGACAGTGGAGGGCATCAAAGGCCTGCCCTGGGTGCATCAATAACCCACCACCACTCATTAGAGCCCCAGCTGCCAGCTTGCTTCTGAGGGGACAGGCAGCAAGTGGCCAAGTGACCAGGGGAGGCCGTCATTACCTGTGACAACAGACTTTCAAAGGCAGCGTCTGACTTTCCCCTACAGACTCACTGTTTTCCTCTTAAAGTTATCCTAACATAGGCCAGGCATGGCAACTCACACCTGTAATCCCAGCTACTTGGGAGGTGGAGATCAGGAGGATCAAGGTTGGAGGCCAGCCCAGGCCCCCCAAAAAAAAATGCAAGACCCTATCCAAAAAATAACTAAAGCAAAGAAGGACTGAGGGCATGACTTAAGTGGTAGAGCACCTGTCTGGCAAGTGCAGGGCCCTGAGTTCAAATCTCAGTACCACCAAAAAAACTAATGTTTAGTCAAAGATTTAAAAAGTCAAAAGTTTTGATGTTTTAAGCGGAAGTCAGAGGCCAGACCCTCAGGCAGGCACCAGCCCACCCAAATTTAGACACAAGGATGCATGGAGCCAGGTGGCCCACCATTTATCCACACCCAGCTCAGGCAAAGGTTGGCTGCATTTAGGGTGACCTTCTGCACTGTTTGCCCAGAACTGAGCACTTTACACCTGTGGCCCAGGTGTAATTATTAACAAAAGAACTCCCTTTACTCTCAAAAATGTCTCCATTTGGACAAACGCTATTTGTCCCCCTCGTTGCATGGGAACGAGTTGGGGAGGATGCAGAAAAGGTGGTCTACTGCGGGCTGCCCACTGCCACGGGACAATGAGAAATGACTGGGTGCCTGGCATTTACCCATAGTCCCTTGCCACAGGAACTCTCACCAGTTCTCAATTCATCCCAAGACAAAAGCCTTAGCAATCTGGGGAACTCCATATCTGAGCCATGGAAAGGCACGGGACTGTCTCCCACACGCTGGAAAACTGGGCTGTAATTATCACAACTCCATAACAGCCTGTCCCCTGGCCACCCAGGGAGGGCGGGGACTTCCACAGATCAGGGTGCAGGAGCACAATTGGGGGAGGGGGACACCTATAAACCCAATTCTGGCTGTGCCACCTACAGGGGAGGGACCTCAGCAAGACCAAGTCCCTGAATTAGGAGAGGCGGACAGACAAAGCCACTGGAATCTCCAGCATGGAGCACCAGGAGCTACAATGAGGGCAGAGGCACCAGTAGGGAGACTGGCGGGCAGCCCAGCTCCATGCATCTGCTGGGCCCTGTGTTTTACTCTGGGATCCAGTCAGCACTGCTTTGGAATGAGAGAGTTCACCTGATGTTAAAACAAGTTTGGAAATCCCTGGACTAGAGTCCCTTGCAGGAGTAGGAACGAAGGTAAGAGTGAGGGCTCTGGAGTCAGACACCTGGCTTCAAATCTCAGCCTGCTGTGTGACCCCGGACAAGTGACTGCACTTGTCTGTGCACTAACTCATCTGCAAGTCACCTCATCCATAAAATACAGGTACCCAAAGAATCATCCTTATTGGGTCATCCTGTGGATTAAATGATGTTCAAATGAAGTGCTTAAGGCACTGCCAGGCACTCAGTACAAGGCGCTGAAGAAATGCTGATCTCCTGGTGCCTGAATCTCCACCCACACCCATGGCTATGACAGCAAGGTTCTCAGGTGCAAAACCACTTGCCTGGGGACCTGTTGATAGGCAATGAATTTTTCTTCCAAGGTGGTAAAAGAGAAGAGATAACTAAACCCTAGCAAGCCCAGGTGCCTTCACCCTAAAAATGCACTCTCTTCAATTTAGGGTAGGGCCATTGTCTAGAGCATGAGACTGAGCAATAGGGTAAGAATTTGAATTTAAAATGGCACACAGCCCTGGGTAACAGGAAAAGCCTGTCCTATTAGTGCTTGTGCGACATTGGAAGGCCTCGTGGACCACGTCTGTACAGCGGGGACAATCAAAGTCGTAACTGCACAGGACTGTGAGCAAGAGTCGGCCAGACAATGAAGAAACACAATTAGCAGCGTGCCTGGCACAGAAGACCTTGAACAGCAGCTGCAGCTGTAATGATGGCGCCACACTGAGAATGGCGACATGAAAGATGGGGCGGAGGATGAAATGGCAACTGCTAACACCGTTTCATCACTTTCCTGAATGGAAATGTACCACGCCACCTTCCCAGGACTCAGCACAACAGGTCAAAGCCAGCCCAGAATGTCAGGGAAAAAGGGCCAGCACCTGAGTGTCACCAGTCAAGTTCACCTCCAAGAGCCCAGCCCCCACTAGGCCTTACCAGCCCCCGGGCTCCTTAGAGACATTGTGGATGAGGGCACCGCGGCAGAAGGTCAGCTCATCGCTGCGCTTGGCTTTGTAGTCGTACAGAGCTTTCACGGTCCTCTGAGGCTTTCAGGGAAAACAGGAAGGAAAAGGTCAGGCAAGATGCAGCTTGACAGGAGCAGAGGAAGGGGACATCACAGGCATCTTTGTCTGGACGGCTTCAGAGGCCAGGGTTACGCCACTATCTGGTGGTCACTGGCCAGCACTGCAGATGAACCGAGACCCCCAAAAGATGAACCCTCCCCCTAGGGAGGGGGACAGGGACTAATCTAGTCAGAACCAAGGCCACCTGAGAGTGACACAACATCAATGTCTCACCAAAGAAAGGACGTGCATTTCAGAGTGACAGGAGTGCAGTACTCAAAAACCCTCCCAGAGGTTCAAGGGCAACACCACTTCCTGGCTCTGCCAGGGGCTTTGCCACCATTCTTACGTAGGCTAGCAGTCCCCCAGCTATCCTTCTGCAGGACACTGGCACCTGGTAGGGGCCACTGAGGCACACCTTCATGAAATTCATCAAAACTGCACTCTGTGTTGGCAGGACCAAGAAAAATGGAACATGCCTGGGATAAAATCATGCTTCAGTGAATTTGCTTGAGGCCTGGTACTTGCTGAGTGTAAACCCAAGACAAAACGAACGCCCACACAGCAAGAAAACGCTAATGGGAAAACCTCTGAAAGTGTCAACCCTATTTAGATCAGCAACTTCCCTCTCCTCCCACCCTAAGGAAACGGGACCGTGACTGAAAAACAGCTCCTCAGATCTGGGCCATGCAGGTTCCAGTCTGTGCTCTGCTCTTCCTAGCTACAGAAGCGTGAGCTCTTTATTTCCCATCTGCGAAATGGGAATTAAAGTGTCACATATTTCACAGGGTTGCTGAGACTGTGTAATGACAAAAAATGACACTGCTCCAAGCCCTTCCGCCTACAGTACTCCTTCCAGTCCTCACAATGACCCCAACAGGGAGGCGGCAGTCGTGTTATGATCATTTTACAGATGAGGAAACTGAGGTACAAAGAAATGAAGTGATAATAGCTGAGCCCTGAACTGATCAATGCATCAGCGTTGTGGCCATGGCTCATGACATTCTGTAAAAAGCAACACTGACTTGAGAAACTCGACTGTAGATACCTCCGACTGGAGGCTGCCAAACCTCTGCCCTTCCTTCTCTCCTCCACCTGCATGTTCTGCTTCAGGGTGGACGTAAGGACCAGAGCCCAGCTGGTGGGCACAGGGAGGCACAGCCAGCAGCAGAAGGCAGGTCTATACAACAGCTTGCACAAGGAGGAAGTCTCCAGCCTGTCTGATGCACAGGAAGGGCCTCAGGAACTAGAGACATGAGCCAGCCACCAGATGACCGAGCAGGCCTGCAGCATAGCCACACGGCTAAGGGGACATGATTGGGAACCAGCGTGGCTGGGTCAATTCCAGTTCCAAACCACAGCTGTCCTCAGCAAAGATTCAGCCTCTCCATACCTCAGTTTCCTAAGATGGACACTGAAACAGGACCTGGTTCCTGGGCAGTCGTGACAATTGATGGGGTCACCACCAGTTGATGGGGTCAGGTGGTTAGAACTACACCCAATGCGTGGACTTCAACCTGTGTCACGGGGCTATTGATCTACTCTTCCCAATTTGAAGAACTTAACCGAAGGATAAAGTAATCCAAAAGACAGCCAAAGCCTTGTGCAAGAACAGGTTCATTTCAATATTAACTTGAAGAGCAAAAGCCAGAAATGAGCCAAATGGCCACTGACGAGGAGATGGCGAAGCTGGCAGCGTCACTGAGATATTCTACACCACTAAAAACCTTTCAAGTTAAGATTTCAACCTACACACCTCCTCTGGATGTCACCCTGGCAGGACTGACAAAACGATCGCCAAGAAGATGAGCAATGAGAAGCCTACAGTGACCAAAGGACACGTGAGCCAAGTAGAGTAAAAATGGCGCACACAGGGACAGCAAAGACCAGAGGATGCCAAGACTGAGGCCAATTCTTCTTCCCTTTTTCCAGTGTGTTTTCTGTCTTTACATCATTGTCAATGCAGCAAAGGTAGTAAGTTCACCTCGAGACCCTCGCAGACTGGCGGCCGAGACCAAGTTCAGCGACAATCGTGTTTACTTGGCCCACCCAGTGTATATAGGAAGAATTCCTCTAAAACTTGGTTTAGCTGCCACGGTTTTAAAACTGCAAGACTGCACATAAAATACACAGATTCTGAGGAATCAGAAGACCTTCCCTCTAAAGGGCAACAGCCACCTGCTGCTCAGAGGTTTCCCTCAAAGTAGAGATCTGTTTCTCAGGTGGCCATGGTCTCCATCACCTCTGCTGACAGAAGACCAAATGCCAGTTGCCATTAATCACCAAGCATGCATTATTTTATATCATTGTCACAGCAGAGTTCAAAGGCTGAAAGGTTTCTCCTGGGTGTAGTGGTGCACACCTGTAATCCCAGCTCTGTGGAAGGTAGAGATAGGAGAATCACAGTTCAAGGCTAGCCAGGCAAAAGTTAGTGAGACCTCCCCCTCATCTCAACAAATAAGCCAGGCATAGTGATGCATGGCTATGGTGCTAGCTACATGGAGGCAGAAGCAGGAGGCTCACAGTCTGAGGCCAGCTTTGGGCTACCCTATCCAAAAAATAACTAAAGCAAAAAGGGTTGGGGACGTGACTCAAGTGGTAGAGCAAATCTGCCTAGTAAATATGAGGCCATTTTCAATTTTTCCAGTATCACAAAAAAGAAAAAAAAAATTACTGATCTATCTCCCAGACTGGCCAGCTCAACCCACCCACGCTGTCTGCCTGACGGTCATGAGCACTTGAGTCAGCAACCCTGACTCAACTTACATTTAAAAGGAGAGACTGAAGCCCCTCAAAACAAGCTCCCAGCACACCACCCCGGCAAGGAGGAAGACACACGGTGAGCTTAACCTTACTCGAGAGACCCCTGGTGAAATCTGCAAAACCTGCACGTGGCGGGAGGGGTGTCCCCTCATTATGCTGCTAAAAAAGGTCTGGGAGCCCGCTGATGCTCTCCCCACACAGCTTCCCAAGACTTCATTTCTTGGTGAAGATTTGCACTGGCCAAAGCTTACAAATAAAAAAGAAAGAAGAAATTTGGATTTCAACAGAACGCACAGCGGGGCTGTACGCTGATCGTGTGCCAGATGGTCTCCAAGACAGAAAATTCGCCACAGTTCTTCCTGCACTGGCTCGAACTAAATTTGAGACAGAAGCAGAGCAAGGAAGGAGCTGGGGGCTAAGAGCAAAGTCCACCCCGACCTGAGAGACAGCGCTCCATGGAAAGGAGGCCAGCGAGCACCCAGGCCCCGTGTGCACGGAAACCTTGGCAAGACTTTCAGTCCAAGGTCGTTCGGCCCAAAGGGGATTCACAAACTCAGGATTTTAGCACGACACAGGCCATCTGGAGGGAACTCTATTAACCTCTGCCCTGAAACTACATGTCAAATTGCCAGTCATCAGTTCTTCTAAAAAAAAAACAACAAAAAATTAGTTTTGGCCAGGTTTTCCAGAATGTTGTTCCCTTGTCCTGTTATAACTGCCATGGGACCAGGGACAGGGCCGGGAATCTGTGTCAATCTAGTGGGGACAGACGTCATACCATGGAAGGATTGATTTCACTCGGATCCACGTACATCCTGCTGACGTCGTAGAGGGAGTTTATGTCTCTTTCCTAAAAAAAAAAAAAAAGAACAAGAACATCAAACGGAGCAGTCCGTGTTCCCGGAACCACGGACACAGGTTGCAGACTTCCTTGAGGTGGCACCTCACAGAATTCCCCGTGGTTCGTAGGTAGATAATCAGAATGAAGAAGCTCCCCAACAATTTGGAAACAGCCCCAAAATCAGACAGGCCCCTCGCCCGGCCTGCAGTGCGCCAGGCGCTGCGTTCCTCAATGAAGGCATAAATCTGGAGATCGCCCACGCGCTGGAGCGAGCCCACGCTCGCCAGGGCCCACGTGCCCATCGGGGTCAAGGACACAGAGGCCACATGCCAGTCCTGCCCATCTCCGCTCACTTCACCCTCCAGGGCGGCCTTCTCTGACCACCCTGGACTCACCTTAGTACCCCTTACACTGCTGGCTTTATCTGCTTTACTATAATTCACGCCACCCAAAAGCACCTCGCTTACGCCTTGCCTGTTCTCCCTCCCTCTAAGATCTGTTCCCCAAAGCCCCAGTATCCAGAACCAGACCAGGGGCTGGCGGAATGGTTCAAATGGTAGAGTTCCTGCCTCTCAAGTACAAAGCCCCTGAGTTCAAACCCCAATAATGCTTAAAAATCAAAAATAAAAGAAACAAACAGAACCAGACCAGGCGCACGGAGGTTCCTGGTGATTCTCCTTCCAATAAATGAGTGGATCCACGTGACAGGAAGTGAGACACAGGGATGTCTCACCTTCCCTCAGAACCCTGCAGTGGTCAGGATAAAAGCCAGAGCCTTATAATTGCCCAAGAGGCCTGACATGATCCAGTTCCCTACCCACACCCACCTGGGCTCACCTGACGCCAGCTTCCTGTCTGTGCCTCCACCTCAGGACCTTTGCACCTGCTGCCCGTGCTTCCTCCACACAACTGCACAGCTCACTCCACCTCAGTGAGACCTTCCAGACCTTTGAAAGCTGAATCCCCCCACCCACCTCTGCATCCACTCCTCCTGTTTTTCTCCTTAGCATTTGTGCCATCTGCCCCTTATTGACTGTCCGTCTCCCCCAGGCCACACTGCAAGCAGCACGAGAGGTGAGTCTTTTCCGCTGACCCAAGTCTGTTTCCCCAGAACCTGGAGCAGCAGCACCAGACACACAGCACCTACTCAGCACAGCATGCCCACAGCCTACCATGTTGTAGCGCTCCAGGAGCTCGGGCGTCACGGGGTAACGCAGCCTCATCTTGCGGTAGAGCGCGTGCTTCTCGTAGTAGCTGACGAGCTCCACCAGGCTCTCGAAGTAGGCGGAGGTCCCCAGCACAAAGTGCCGGCCGTCCCGGTTGATTCGACAGTGCTTCACCTTGCCCCTGGCCCTGGAGAAGGAAGACCCACACCGGGTTGCCAGGAAGCCAGAAAATTACCATACAAGCCCCCCACCTTTAGACACAACCTTGTTGTCCATACTGAAGGGACTTGGTGAATAAACAGAGCACAGTCCCCCTGGGGACCGCCATGCAGGTGTTTTCTAATCGGCACCTCAGACGCAAGTGTCTTTCCAGCTTGCTGCCCCTCCCCAAATGTAGTACTTGACTTTCTTTTCTTTTCTTTTGGCAGTACTGGGGTTTGAACTCAGGGCCTCACAATTGCTAGGCAGGCGCTCTACCCCCTGAGCCACTCCGCCAGCCCAGTAACTGACTTTGGAAACACGCTACACGTCTAGGGCAGGAGCCACAAACCACAGCCCACAGGTCAAACGGAGCTCACTACGTGTTTTTATAAATAAAGTTTTATTCAAACACAGCCACGGTTCACACTTGCATATACGCTGTCTGTGGCCGCGTTCAGAGTTGTGTGCATAGCTGCGACAGAGGCCACATGGTCTAGGAGGCCGGAGCATTCACTCTACAGGCCTTTCCAGAAAAGGTGTGCTGAACTCTGTTCTAAAATTCCAGGTCTCAGTCCCCAGATCCTTAAGCCTTGTCTTCAACAACCCAACTAGGATGACAATGATCGTTCTTTTTCCAGAAAGGGAGTGGGTCTTTTGCTTTTTTTTATCCATTTGAAACAAGAGTCAATAAAAGTCCAATACAAAACAGACTTTTCTGTCTTTCTAGTTCTTCTAAGCAAAAATAGAAACATTTTCAAAAGTAAATTTCGGTTCTAACTTTACAGCCCAAAGTGTCTGATAAAAGCAAATCTCTGGGGGAGAAATGACCCAAGCCTTGTATGCACATATGAATAATAAAAAAAAAAAAAAAAAAAGCAAATCTCTTCCTTGTCATATTCACCATAACGAAATGCTAAAAGTTGAGGGTGATTACCCCGAGTCCACCACTATTGCACCTCATAAATGTGTACAAATATCAGGTGTCGGTTTTTTCAGATTTTCATCTGAAGTCTACCCTGAATACCCAAGGTCGTTGTGAGCAAAAGGAACAAAGCTACAGGCATCCACACTACCTGACTTCAAATATACGACAGCTCTGTCGTAATTAAAACAGCTTGTGCTGAGATAAACACTGACACCCAGACCAGTGGAGCAGAACAGAGCCGGGACACGAGCCTATGCGTGTACAGCCAGCTGACGTTCAGTAGAGGCCAAGCGCACACAATGCAGAAAGAACGGTCCCTTCATTAAGCGGAGCTGGGAAAACTGGACACACCACACACAAAAAAATCAACTCAAAACTGAATGAGAGACTTACACGTAAGACCTGAAACTATAAAACTTCCAGGAGAGCCAGCATGGTGGCTCACGCCTGTAATTCTAGCCATGCAGGAGCCAGAGATCAGGAGGACTGTAGTTCAAAGCCAGCCTGAGCAAAAAGTTTGAAGACCCCATCTGAACCTGTTGTGCACACCTGTCATCGCAGCTATAAGCAAAAACAGGAGACTCACAGTCCAGGCTGACCTGAGCATAAATGCATCACCCTATTCAAAAATAATGAACACAAAAAATACTATGGGTGTGGTTCAGGTGGTGGGGTGCCTGTCTAGTGAGCACAAGGTCCCAAGTTCGAACCCTAGCAATGCCAAATAGATAAATAAAACTACCAAAAGAAAGCATGGAGGAAAACAGAACAATCTGAGCGGTGATTTGTCAGATGTAACCCTCAAATCACAGACCCTCAAAATTTTAACCCTCAAAATTAAAAAAGTTTCTGCACAGCCACGGAAACAACTCACAGGGAAGGGACAACCAATGGAATGGGGCAAAGACCTGCACACCAAGCACCGGGTAAAGTGTTAATATCCAAGGTGCACAAGGGACTTAGATGACTCAATGACAAAATGCACCCATTCAAAATGGGGAGAGTATTTGAAAAGACATTTCTCAACAGAAAATAAACAAATGGCCAACTGGTATACAAAAATGTTCACATCACTAAAAATCAAAATGAGATACTATCTTACGCCTGTCAAAATAGCCATTATCAAAGAGATAAAGATAAGGCCAGCTCACTCCTGTAATCCCAGCGACATGGGGATAGGAGGACCATGGTTCAAGGCCAGCCTGGGCAAGAAAGTTAGCGAGACCTCATCTCAGAAACAAGCCAGTATGGTGGTGCATGCCTGGGGCCCCAGCTGAACAGGAGGAAGAGACATGAGACCCCAGTCCAAGGGCAGCCCCAGGTCGAACGCAAGAGACACTATCTGAAAAATAAACTAAAGCAAAAAGGACTGGGGGTGTGGTCCAAGTGGCAGAGAGCCTGCCTAGCAAGTGTGAGGCCCCGAGTTCAAATCCTAGTACTTTCCCCAACACCAAAAAAAAAAAAAAAGGGAAAACAAAAGATGGCTGGGTTTGGTTTGGTCACTCACACACACAAGCATCCTGACTGATGGGCAGCGGGATTCCCAACCCCTAGTGCCATACCTGGTACACAGGTGGTGTTCACAGAACGACCCTGAACTGAACAAACCTGGCTCCCTTCCAGGCCAAGAAGGCACCCATGAGAGCATCAGGGGCAAAAGCACCAATGGCAAGAAACCCAGGGCCTCCCTGTTGGCAGCGCCCAGCACAGAAGAGCCACGCTGGATGGAGGGTCCTCCCTGGCTGCAGCCAGCACACAGCGAGCCCTCCACAGGGGCCCAGACATTCCACTGCCTCCCATTTTTCACAAGCAACATGAATTTTTTTGTGAAATTTCTCCATTTTTCACATCCCACATACAAGCTAAGCAAAAGACATCCATAGGCCTAATCCAGCCTCCAGGTCTCTTGCTGGAGGCTCGGATCTAAAGAACGCAGGCTTTGAAAGTCAGCTGAAATTCTGACTCAGCCAGTGATGAGGCTGTGTGATGCTTGACAGATCACTTAACCTCTCTGGACCTCTGTTTTCTCGCATCACAGGCTGTAGTGAAGGGCTCAACCAGATGAGACCTCAGAGGACGCTCTGGTACATAATTAGGAACCGAACATATGGTTCCTAATCTGCAGAAGGTACCACTTACCAAGGAGACCTGGGGTGGGGGAGGAGGAGGAGCGGGGGCTTAACACCAACCCTCTCCCTCATTGTCCCCATTGAGAGGGAGAAGAGTTCTGTGTTTGGGGTGAAATTAGCCCCAGTCCTAGAGATGGATGGGTGGCAGGTGCTGATGGGAGGAGCCCAGATCTATGACACCACAGATCTGGGCTGTCTGGGCTCAAATCCCAACTCAACCTCCTATTGGCTCTACATGCTTTGATAAACTGCTCAGCCTCCCTGCGCCTCCGTTTTCTCCTTTGGAAAATAGGAATAGTGGTTGTGCCAATGTCCTGGGGTGGTTTCAAGATGGAAAGAGTTAATAGTGGGCCATTACTCTGGAAAATATCTAGACTGTGCCTGGCAACTTGCAAGTGCACACTTTTGCTATTACTGTTGTTGTTCACACTGGGAGAGCACACCAAGAAACAGGTCTCCATCCAAAACTTCCCTTCCCCTTCCCTGTCCACACCCATCCTTCCCACGCCTCCTCTGAGGAGCGTGGTTCTGCCACACACCCACCTGAAGGTGATGGCGTAGGAATCCATCCCTTCTTCCCGCCTGCGGATGAGGAAAGCCCCGTCTCGTGGAACCCTCATCAGCATGTCTTCTGCTTCTCCACGGCTCAGCCTGTCGTAGTACCACCTGTGCCCAGGGCAGGGACAGCGACAGGCCAGGTGAGAGCCCCTGAGGCTGTCAGCTGGCCTCTCCCCAGGGCCTACTAATGGGCTCCCAGTGTGGAAATGGCCGTGGAAATCCCACTGGACTTCCCCAGCCACGGACACCTCTGAAAACAGCAGTACTGGGAGTCTGGAGGGGGGTCTCCGTGGAGCACAGGAGAATAAACCCCCTTACCTGTGCCCACCCATCCAGCCGAGCCCAGAAGGCCAGAGGGAAGTTAGGGCAAAATTAGGGCAGCTCGTCCCAGGACAGGAGGCACAAAGCACAGGTGCACTGAGAGGGAGTTCGGCTTTGGGCTACTTCTTAAGATGTGACATGGCACATTTTAAAAGCAAACCAAGTGAAACTAGACAGGAAATGTTGCAGAATAAAGGTGCTATAAACTTTCTGGCTTCCTCTGAAGGACAAATTTTAGTAGCCTTCTGCTCAGAAAACCCCCATATTCCTTTCACAAGGCATAACTTGATGCTCTCCTCACTGAATAAAGAAATGAGAGGAATACCCAGATGGTCATTTTCTCCCTTGCTCACTGTCAGACAGACAGGAGGAAGCTCTGACAGGTGGAAAGAGGTGATCAGACCAAAACTGGCCTCTGAAAGCAAAACCCAAGACCTCAGGACTATGAAGATGAAGGAGAGCGAGGGAAAAAGAGAAGAGGGAAAAAGGTAAAAGGTAATGGCTAGCATGAATCCAACAAGCAGCACACCACCCCAAATCCTGAGCCCCCTGTGCACTGAGGGGAGCGCTCATGGGGACCCCAGCAGGACCTACGGCTTGGACTCGTGCGGGTTGGGGTTGGGCACGGGGTCGGTGAGCCTCAGTTCGAACTCTGCACAGCGCAGGTGCGTCTCACGGTAGTGCTGGATGAGGGCGTAGATGCTGCTGAACGTCAGGTTGTCAGTCAGATAGTACTTCATGACTCCACCCTCCATGGTGGAGCGGATGCGGCAGTGCTGCACGCGGCCCGAGCGCCTGAGGGACAGGGATGTCATCGGTGCCAGGCCAGGCAAGCTGGAGCCAGGGCCCAGAGGGGTGGACACCACACCCGGCCACATGGCCTCTTATCCACGGATGTCAGGGGCATTACCAGAAGGACAGGGTGTAGTCATTGGGGAAGGTCTCGCTCTCCCGCACGAGGAAGGTGCCATCCTTGGCTCCCGTCTCCGCACAGTATTCCTGCAGCAGCTTTTCAGCACTTGTTCGCTTTTCTACCTTCTTGTGGAACCATTTCTCCCCAAAATGCAGCTCCGTGGGAGGAGTATCCTGGACCGCAGAGACAAGAGGCTTTTGACAGCTCCACTGCTCCTCCCTGCCTGCCGCCTTTCCCTAACATCTCCCATTTGCTGGCCTTCTGGAGTCCCGAGACATGGGGTCAGAGGTCCCCCCCAATTCAGCCCTCAATTCTGCTCTAAAGAAAGCCTGAGAGCCATATAGCACAGAGCCACAATCAAGAACCAGTGCAAAGACAGCCAGCAGCTGGAGGGGACAGGACAGGAAAGCCAGGGGTCAGGGCAGAAGAGTGGGCTACGAATCCATGTCCTCCCCAGGGAGCACAGACCGTGATCTAAGCCCAGTCACGCTCTGTAGAAAGCAGGAAAGAGCCTTGAATCTTATTGGTTAAGCATCAGGGTCAGCTAGCCAATCAGAGAGGAGCCAGTTAGGCTTTGGTACCCAAAGTGATAACTCCTTAGGGCTGAGGAGCCCCATGCCAGCCCATCGCAGGGGAAGAGAAGCCCTACAGGAGCTCTCCATGGGGCAGGGAGGCCCAGGGCCCAGCCCAGCTCAAGAAGGCAAGAGCAGCTGGGTCTCACACACCTGGGGTGGCTCCTCCTCCACAGTCTGTTCTATGTCATCACTGAAGGACAGCTTGGCATCAGCAACTGCACAGTAGTGCCGAGTCCATTTCTAAAGAGCAAAGCTGGTATTAGTGTCCCCGGAGTCCAGCCCCGTAAACTCTGGGGCTCTGGAGCCCTGCAGGGTGTCACCCCTGTGACTCACTGGGGCTTCCTCTTTCCCAGTTTCTAACAGACTGATTTCACTGAATTTGTTATCCTTTGAGACATTTCTTTTTAAAAACCACTATTTGGGGTTTCTTTTGTCATTTTCAGGACTAAAACAGTGCGTCTAATCACGGATATGACTTCATACCAAATTTCTACTGCATATGTAACACGCAGCCCTTTTATGAAGGGTGGGATCGTTTGTGTCCTCATGACTTTCTGCCTCATCTTCTTTTGAGACTGGATTTTTCAGTCAGTTGATCTAAAGACTTGTCCTGCAACATTTAATCATGACTTCACTATTTAAACGTTAACCATTTTTGTATTTATTTCTAGAAAAGACAAGGAAAAATACACTCAAATGGTCCTCTTACTAGGCTAAGGGATATGAGAAGAAGCATGGGAGCTTGAAATACCGTCCCCTCGTCAAAAATGGCAATTGTGGTAGAACCTTCCCAAGATTGGAAGACACCGGAATGGATGTGACCACCTAGACTAGGAAAAGGCTGTGTCTAGCGGTGTGAATCTGAAGATGTCCTCTGGGGCTCACATGCTGAAGGCTTGGTTGGGAGCTGGAGGCTTCTGAGAAGTGACTGGGTGGTGCAGGCTCTGACTTCATCAATGGCGAATCCATTGATGAGCGAGAGGTGGGGCCTCAGAGGAGGGAGGCCACTGGGGGACGACATCAGAGGGAATATCTTGTCCCCACACGCTTCACCCCTCTCTCTCTCTTTCTCTCTCTCTCTCTCTCAATGTCTCCCGTCCACCATGAGGGCCACTGTGCCTCACCACACTACCACCGTTCGACTTCACCACAGGTCTAGAAGCAACAGAGCCCGGGGTCTGTGGACTGAATCTCTGACACTGTGAAAATAAATCCTTAACTTATGCTCTCGGGTTGCTTTGTCAGAGCAACGAAAAGCTGTCTAAGACAGTGGACAAACTACTGGAACTGAAAACCGTCTACAAATTAGTATCATACCATTGTTACCTTTCTGATCAGATAATTGCACTATGGCTGTACAGGACATCCATATTTAAGGAAGCAGGGTGAATGACATATGGGACTTTTCTGATGATTATATGTGTGCACGTATACCATATTTATATTAAGTTATTCTTAAATAAAACATTAAAAATGCAAGAGAAAGAGTTTAATCATGAAGACAAGCCCACTTGGCTCACGGTGGGACTCCCTGAGCTCTACAGCAGGCTCCAGGAGGAGCCCGAGAGGTCAGAGGTCGACCCCATAGCAGGAGTGGGAGGGACCCGGGCCCACCTGGTCAATGGGGTCCCACATGTACAGCTCGCCCTGTTGCTTGTGCTCATCTTTCTTGTCCTCCATGTTGACATCGACATCACCTCGGGGGCCCAGCTTCTTATGCTGAGAGGAAAGAAATTCACACAGCCTGCCTCTCTCAGACCCAAATTTAAGAGTCACTGAGCCGGCAAGAATCCACCCAACATCAGTCAGTGGGTAAGCTTACATCTGCCTCTTCCCACCCTAGGGCCTTTGCACTGTCCGTGCCTTCTACCTGCCTCCTTTCACTACATTCGGCTCTGTGCTCAGTCCCCTCCTAGAAGGCACTGTCCCTACCGCTCAGCCTAAAAACGACCCACACCCCCTTCCCATCCAACCACTCTGGCTCTAATCTGTCTCGTTTTTCTTGTATTCTTGGCCCTATGTGTATCTGCTTGTCTTCTATCTTCCCTGCTAGACAATAAGCCCTGTGATGGCATGGGCTTTGTTTAGCTCCCTGTAGAGTCACTGTGCTGGAACAGCTACTTAGTAGACAGTAAGTGCTTAATAAATACACAGGGAATAAACGATACATCATGTGCCAGCATCTTACAGAGAGCCGGACAGCTCCACAGCCAGTCCAGGGGGAACAGGCTGGGCAGGGCAGCAGGAGATGCTGGGGACAGGAGGCACTGCTCTATGTGACCCCGAGCTGACAGCCACACTTCTCTGCGCTTCCCACTCCTCGTATGCAAAGCTAAGGCAATGACAATGACAACATTCACCTGGGTGGGACCTGACTACCCACTTCCACAGATGCTTGTAGGTTGGGAACCAAAGAGACCCAGTGTAGGATCTCAGGACTGGGAGTCAGGCTTAGACTCGAATTCAGAGCCTGTATGCGATGGAAGTGTTCCGGTGGTCTACCTTGATGATGACCTTCTCCCGCAGCTGGCTGGGTGAGGGCAGCTGGTCAGCACTGGCCTCCGTGGGCTTTGTCAGCAGCAGGTCACCAAACACCTCCTTGAACACCTTGGCCATGTGACGCTGCTGCTCCACACTACAGTGCTCCTCGATGGACAGGATCACCGGGAAGCTGTGGGCAGCAGGACCAGGGTTGGCTCGGGGATGCAAAGCCGGGCTCTCCCCAACTGCCCCATGGTGACCAGCCGACACCTGTCCAGGGAGGGTCCTGCACACCCCAGGACCAGAGCAGCTTCCAGCTGCTAAGTGGTCCCCCAAACTCCAGGGAGCTCTTCTGTCAACTTTCCAGTGCTCGTCATGTCCAGCTACAAACTCTACAGCATTTTATCTCAGTGCTTTTAACCCACATCTTTAAACTTACACAAAAAAGGGTTTTTTAACTTCAAACCTACAGAAAAGGTGAAAATACAGTCCAAAAAGCAGTGACATATGCATGACCTACAGTAACCAATGTTAGCATTCCCCAGTGCATCTACCAGTTTAATATATTTATCTTCTACATGTGTAAAGTGATTTAGAGCCGGGTGTGGTGGTGTACTCCTGTAATCTCAGCACTTGGGAAGCCAAGGCGGGCTGTGCATGTATTCAAGGTCAGCCTGTGCTGCATAGGGAAGCCCTGTCTCAAAAACCAAAACAATGAAGTATATTAGTTTTCTACATTTCTGTGTCACTTACGTCCACTTACCTGTAGCTTGTGTGTACACGTTTATATACTATTTGTATATGTGCATGTGTACCCACGTTTTGTACATGTGTATAAATCGTTCTGGTTATCTGTGGAGCTATGGTCCAAAAGTTGCCAGCAGCATTTATCAACAAACACCTGAGCCTTACTCCTAACAGGAAAACCAGAGTTAAGGTCTTTCAGCCTCTGGTCACATTTTTAACAACTAATCAGTTCAAGACCTCATTTTATGCATTTCTGCTTAGTGACACCTTACTTAACACTGAGAATGGTGCCTCACACCTGTAATCCCAGCTACTCAGGAAGCAGATGTAGGGGAATCATTTGAGGCCAGCCCAGGCCTACAAAAAAAAAAAAAAAGTTAGCAAGACCCCATCTCAATGAATAAGCCAGGCATGGTCGCACCTGCCTGTCATCCCAGCTACAAGGGAGGGTGTGGTATAGTAATCCATGCACTATTTCAAAAATAACTAAAGCAAAAGGGCTGAGGGTGTGGCTCAAACGGTAGAGCACCTACCTAACAAGCTCAAGGCCCTGAGTTCAAACGTCAGTACAGCTAAATAAATAATTTAAAAGCAAATAAAACGTGTTATTTAGTATATATTGTGGGTTCATTAGCACTGAACTTGCAGCCAACAGAGCTGTAACTCACACTGGAACAGAGCTGACCTCACACCTGCATTTTCTCCCATGGGCGTGTCACAGCCTCGTACTCAGGACACTACACGACACTTCGGCACTGTGCTTGGGGCCATTTTAAAAGGAGGAATGGCCAACCGAAGTAAAAAAATAAGAAAACCACAGCACGAGACAGATGACAAAAAAGGACACTTGTTTGCAGTGTGAGAACTGAAACAGGAAGGCGAAGCGTGGCTTTGTCCCACTGCAGCTGGGAACGTGTGCAACGGGGGGCTCGACTTCCCACCATTTTCCCCATGGCCACGAATGACCTCCATGGGAATCCAAGAATGTGATTTGATTCCAGTTCCAAATAAATTTTAGCAATTTGCAAACACAGAATCCACTGCAACACCGGCTGTGTGCATGCATCCTCTGGACACGTGTGCACGTGTGTGTCTTATCCACATCCTGCCTGACCTGAGGCACACACAGGCACGTATTTAGATTTTCTCCTGAACCATCCGAAACGAGGCACCGATATCCCCCAGGTGTATAAGAACACTCTCCTCCATGGCCACATCAGCGTCATTAATCCAGCATCACCCAAGAGATGGTCCATATTCCCCCAATCGTCAAAACAATGATACAGAGAGCTAGTTTTTATCCATCCAGAATCTATTTGAGGCTTGTGCAATGCACTCGTTATGAAGCAAAATTATTTTAAAGGTAGCTTATGTCACTACCATAAATAAGAAACCATATTACTAGGTGGAAATGAGAATAAATGTGAAAATGTCTAAAATAGAATTACTTAGGCACATTTCACCTCTAATCAATCCCAGTCCCACTCATCCTGGGCAGCAGAGACCTAAGGAAGCCCTGGTCCGGACCCACACACCCTACAAGAACCACCAGCTAAAAATCTTCCAGAACAAAGTAGTAAGTCTGGTACCAAAACTCAACTGGCAGCCAGCCATAAGCTAAATGGGTGATGCTTATGATCTTTTTAAAAACTTACCCTCAATATGAATAGACATCCATTTTCCTGAGAAAGTAATAGATTTGATTGCGGGGTTCTAGCCCTGTAGGTGTCCAGTGATTCCAAACCCATTTCAACCAGGAAAAAAAATTCCTGGAGCTCTGCCTAAGACAATGCTGGGGAAGAGCAGCAGCTCACACCACACGTGCCTGCTCCCCGGGAGCCAAAGCAAGCTCCCCAACAAAGCCTGCCTGCAGCTTGGGCCTTGACTGCCCCCAAGGCCCAGGTGTCCCCAGGGTGGAGCTACTGGGACAGAATGGAACCTTTGGGAGGTGGAGCCTACTCTGAGGTCCATAGGTCATCAGGGGTGTGCCCGTGATGGGATCTGTGACACCCTTCTCCTCCTTCTTTGCTCCTGGCTTATGTAAGTGGTCTTGCTCTGTCATGTACTCCCGCCACTGCTTCATCACAGGCCCAAAGCAATGGGGCCAACCAGTTATGGACTGGAACGGCTAACACTGAGCCAAAATCAACCTTTTCTTTACAATTTAATTATCGCACATATTCTGTTAGAGTGACAGGAAGCTGACAAGGTGTAACCAGCAATTTCACCATGTCGATGAATACTGAGCCCTTTGGGACTTCACCGACTGCAGGAGGTGGCACAAGAGAAGCCTAAAGCTACATCACTACTACAGCTATGATAAACATGAAGGAGGCTGCACGAGGCACTGTGTGCACTGATTGAAGGGTTTCCTGACAAGCGGGAAAAGGACAAACATAATGTCACTGTCTCCAATGCCACTCCTCCACCCAGCTGCAGGAACTCAGGTAGCAAGTACAATAAAAACAACGGATCCTATTTACTGAACACTTAGTGTATCCCGGGCTCAACGTAAGCACTTCACCTATAGCGAGCGTCCCATTAGTCATCCCCACGGTGCAGGGAGGGCACCCTGTTATCTAAGATGTAGGAACCACAGCACGGAGCTGTAAGTGCCAAGCCCAACTGGTAAGGAACAGATCTGGATTCAAGCTCCAAGAGAGGGACTCCAGAATCCATTCTTGTTCCACTGAGGCCACAGGGAGCCCCTTGCCAGTCTTGGCAATGGCTTCAACTAAGATGGGGCTCAGCCCCTGGAGTGTGGGGGACGAGGGTGATGTGTGTGTGTGTCTGTCTGTCTACCCAACCCCAGCTGCATTCCCCTTAAATGTAAACCACCTGGAAACAAGCCAGCTGACCTGGAGGCGACAAAGGCATGGTCTCTGATGGCCTGCACAACATCATCAAACTTGATCTTGGTGGTCCGTGTCCAGCCGTGGTAGATGATGGGCTTCCCGTCCGGCCCGTCCCAGCAGTCCACTGAAGGGAGAGGGGGGGCTCCTGAGCACCAGCAAGCACGTCCCCCCAGGGCAGACATGCTCAGAGGCTGAGTGTCGTGAAGTCAGGCCCCAGTGCCCACACCAGCTCCATTCCCAGGGCTTAGAGGGCCACCGCCATGAACATGCTGGTTGACATGTGCACACGTGGTTACCAACACGCTAATCCACGCAAGAGAAATTTCTCCAAGAGAAGCTAATGCGAATTGCTTTTTTCCTAATTAGATACTCATAATGCCTTGTATTTCCTGACATCAGCTGTTTAAGCCTTGGCTTGCCTTTTTTTGCCAGTGGAAATAGCGCAGAGCAATGAGAACCTTCTCAAGGTTCCTGGGAAAATATGCAAACAGACGAGATTATGGAGAAGGTGAATAACCCCCAGATTTTCATCCCCCAGAGGGAAGCAGAGCTGACAGCTTCTAACTTCATTTTTTTCACGGTTGCTTTTGCCCCAGGGGAAATGCATAAACTAGAGAGAATTTGTGGAATGACGGCCTCTAAACTCTCATACCACGATGAGTGTGTGATAACACTGGGGCCTGAATCAGCAGTGTGCACCTTTTCCCAATCAAGTGCCCTGCTATGGCTTGTACGTGTCTCCCAAAGGCCATGTATTAAACACTCGTCCCCAGGGTGGCAGTATTGGGGTGGGTGGGCTCTTCAGGGGTGGGGCCTAGTGGGAGGTCTCCAAGTAGTTTGGGGGATGTCTTTGAAGGAGATCGTGGAACCCCAGCCTCTTCCTCTTTTACTTCTTAGATCATGATAGAAGCAAGCTTGTTCTGCCACACTCTTTCACTACACTGTGACTCATCAGAGGCCCAAAGAAATCCCTCCCTTCCCCTACAGATCCAGAACAGTGAGTCAACACAAACCTTTGTCTGTTACAAGCTAACTGCCTCAGGTTTTTTGCTAGAGTGACAGGAAGCTGACTACTACGTGCACCTATGAGCCTTTGCTGGTAAGAGTGAGTCTGGAAAGGAAAGAGCCAAAGAAGTGGCTAGAAAGGAGGAGAGAAACAAGGCCTCTGCCATCTGCCCAGCCACAGACGCCACCCGTCTGTCCCTTTCATAGTTGCTCAAAGGACCCCCACCCCCACAGGTGATAGGCAGTACCTGGGTGTAGAAACCAGTGCTAAAACTAGAGGGTGTTGATTTGCCTTCCTCTGGATAATCCAGGAACCTCTGCTCCTGCCTGCCCACCCATCTGCCAGACGCTCACTGGATCAGGACACCTTCTACATGTCCAGGATCAGTGCCTGGCCAGGCACAAAATGGCACTCCTTGTCTCAGGGACAAGTGTCTTCTAAGAAAAAGTCCCAGGCCACATCCCTCACTACAGAAGCTTTCCAGCACCAGGTTTCCCGGGCCTGTCCCGCCCACCCCCCAATGTTCAGGTCTTTAAAACAAAGCAAGGAGCAAGTACAGAGTTACACAGCTCAACCCACTGTGTCACCTCTGCGGGGACAGAGCTACTTACACTCAATGCAACGGCAGCCCAGACGCAAACAGCGGATGTATGCTTCTGTGGATGACTCGCTGCGCAACTGATCACCCGTGAGGTACCTGCACGGGAGAGGGAGGTGGCCGTGTGGAGACAGCCCTGCGTCTCAGGGCAACCTTGGGGAAACCTCTGAAGTCCCCAAGGGCCTGGGCTCTCCCAGTCCAGAAACAGCCCAGGCTAAGATCTGGGCCACACACAGTGGTCTTGAGCCTTAGGACGCAAACAGCAAGCACAAGGGCGGGTGGACACAGCGTGTTCTTTCTAGAAGACCTTGTCAAAGGGTGCCAGGAGCAAGGAAGAGGCAGATGGTAATTAACGACTCTCCATGGCTGCCCACTGGACCTCTAGAAGGTGTCCTGATCCAGTGAGAGTCTGGCAGGTGGGTGGACAGGCAGCAGTGGAGGTTAGTACTGTAAGAACACACAGGTCCTCATTTCACTCTCAGGGTTCCGGACCAGCACAGATTATCCTGTAAACAGCTCCAGCAAAACTGACATAAAAATACTAATTTTTACTCTTGCCTCCTCACCATGCCCCCCCACCCCTTAAGGGTTCATGCTCCTTAACGGTCTTCAAAGCTTGGTAGAATCCACCATTTTAAGACACAAACTCTCCAAACGACAGACATGGTGGGAAAGATAGAACCATGCAATCAATCTGCCCAGAAAAAGATCTTTCCTTCTGAAATTCCTAGAGGATGATGAACCCAGGGGCCATTCTCAGTCCCCACATCTGGGATGACACCTAGAGAAGTAGCAACCTCCAGCAGTCTGGGGGCCTCCAGTTGGCCCTACTGGCCTCCGTTCTGTGCTGTGCTCAGGGCAGCCGTACAGCCTCTCCTCACTGCCTCTGCACAGGCTTCTCTGGAGCCCTCCTCCCCGCCTTGCTCCCCTGCTCATGGCTGTCACTCAGCAGAGGTCTTCCCCTCCGAGCACAGGAGGGCAGGGCTCCTCTTGTTTTGCTTACTACCAAATCCTCAGCACCTGCCAATCACAGGGACAGCCCCCGGTAGGTGCTTCATAAATGTCAGCTCAGTGGTTAACAGAATCGCTTTGCTATGCCACCAGGAGATGCTCAAACTGTGAAAAACCAGCTTTGCTGTTTTGCCTTTTAGGACCACAGGTAAAGGATTGTCTCTCCTGGGAAAGGAAGCTGTGATCCCCCACCTCTTCTAGAAGCTTCTGAGCAATGTGGCACACACTCTGTGCCCCTTCACAACAGTCCTTGCCAGGCCAGGCCAGTGCACTGCCCAGCCGTCCTGCGCCCATCACAAAGCTCACGTGTTGTGGGACGAGGAGATCCAGTAATGTGACAGGGGGTTGTTCATCTCCTGCATGTCCACCGAGTCATACTTCTCATCCCAGATGCTGTTCTCTCGTGAAAACAGGTATGTGAGGAACTGAAAGAGACAAACACAGAATCGTGGTGTGGCAGGAGGGATGGCATCTGGTTATTTCTAATTCACACTCAGGGACAGGGGGATGGGGGTAACCAACAGATGGTCACCAGACCTTGGTGACCCAGGATTACTATAAAATGGCTCAGACAGCAACAGGCCCTGTCAACACAGATACTGTCCTGAACCTGGACAATATCTTCCTTTCCAGTGTTTACCCCAAAATATTTGATGCTTTTAAGAATATTTGCTTCCTGTACGGAAGTTTTAAGTCATAACAGTAACTAAACATCTGTGAGTCCACCACCAACTTAAGAAACAGAACATCAAAGGGACAGGAAATTTCCTATCCGTGTTCCAAGTCCTTTGGGGAGAAAAAAAAAAAATCAGACGTGTGAGTGACCTGGGGTACATTCTACTGCTCAGGAGCAGCCTCACATGGGGACGGTGTCCCCCATGTCCTTCCTGTTCTAGGCAAGGTCAAACACTGTCATTTCCCCCTCACTGGACCATAAATCTTTGCATTTGGTTTCTGTTTGTACTGGCTGTTCTCTCCCTGGTGACAGATGCTCTCTAGTGGTGAAATCGATAAACCCACTCAGCAAACTCAAAGGAGGGTGAGGGAAAGGAAAAGGTGGGTTAATCCAGAACCTGGAAAAAACACTCCAGATGAAGCTGCTCTGAAGGTGTCTAATAGCAATGTCCTCTGATGGAAGACACAGAAAACAACTTCAGGGCACACAGGCAGCCATGAGTCAAAAAGCGAGTAGGAGCCTAACCCACTCACCTCGTCCACAAACAAGAAGGGCTCTGCTGTTTCCCTCATTGTGTCGTCAATGAACTTGGTCATCCTCTCCCGGACTTTGCTTATGTCCTGTGCCCAAAGCTCCTTAAAATGACAACAAGAACAAGAAATCACCAAAAAAGGTAACTGACAAAACTCTCATCTCTCAGGTCCACCCAGCTGCAGTCAAAGAACAAAGCTTCGACCAACCAATTTTAAATCCACCACCATGCCCTGTGGTGTGGCCTTTTGCCTATGGTCACCAAATGTCTTCTGCAAAGCACCAGAAAGTAAATATTTGCTACTTCTTGGGCCACACAACGGTAGCTGTTGCAATCACTCAACTCCAAAAGCAGTCACAGACGATACATAGGCAAATGGGCATGGTCTGCGTTCCAATAAAACTTTATTTACAAAAACAAGTGGTGGGCCGCATGTGACCCATAGGCTATAGTTTGCCAATGCCCGCCTTGAACTAGCTCATTGCACGTATTAGCATGAAGCACTGTGGAACACAGTGGTTATGTCAGCCTGCCAGGGTTACTCGCCTGGCTGGTTCTCTCCTTCTACCGTGGATAACCTTGGGCAAGTGACATGCCCTTGTGTGCCTCCTCACTCATGAGACAGGAATGATAACAGTAGTCAGTGCGTGGAGTTTCAGGGAGAGACCACGTGAAATAGGTCACGTGCAAACACGGCACCTGGTACACACAAAGCACTCCACTCATGGCAGTGGGTGTGAATGATTCTCCTCCTCCCATACTCATTAGAACTCTGCAAGTCATACGTTGTCACTGTCATTTTAGAGATAAGGACACAGAAGCCCAGGACTCTCACATAACGCTCCCAGGTTCACACAGCTCGTGAGTAGCAGAGTCCGAGTTCCAAAGAACTAAACTTTGGAAAACAGAATGTAATCACAGGGCTCTGAAATCTACAAGGCCAGCTCCATAACAGCCTCTGCGCAGTCTTAGAAATTTCAGAAGCCCTTTAGAAAAAGAAGACATAGCACAAAGTAGCTGGGTGTACTGTGTTCCCCTCCAGGCCCCGAAACCTCAAATGATCATCGGCAAAGGGGACGAAATGTGACACACGGATCCACCCTGACTAATGCTTTCTGGGTTTCAAATGTTCGTTAACCTCTATCCTTACAGATAATAAAATAAACGTGCTGTCAGAGGAGGATGAGGGAGAGAACAGAACAGTCAAGGACAGACACAAATGGGGTAGTGAAACCCCACCTCGCCAGCACAGGGGTGCAAAACCACAATGAACCTTGCGGTCAACTCTTACAAATCAACCTGGAACAGGTACACAAAACAGGCAGGAGGCTGCAGAACAGAGGGTCCCTTCAATAGAGGAGTGTCGAAAACTTTGAATACTACAACTCAAATTGATGCAGAATATTTGGTGAAAACTCCTTGCCTGGCATCCCAAAGGGGCAGGGCACTCCCTCCCTCCTTCCCCCACAAGGATTTTGCTTTTGTTAAAAGGCACAGTCTCTTGGATAATATCACCCAGATATTAGCTGGCTGGCTGGGCAGAGATCTTCTGCCTGGAGGAGATTAAAATGCCAATATTCTAGAGACTGAAAATGCTTCCAGGTGGTGTGGGGTATTACGCCAGGCACTTATGCAAACAACACAGCTTGCTGATGAAAATAAAAACATGGCGATTCAGTCAACACCAGGCACTGACTGTGCTAAGCTCTTTTCCTGTACCGACTTGCCTTATACTCACCACGACCCCTGGAGGTACATGCTGTTCCCCATGTTAGATAAATGGGTAAACTGAGGCCTCCAATGTTAAGTAACGTGACCCAATGATAAGCTCCAGACCCAGGCCTATCATTCCTGGGGGCTGACATTTGACCCCTCTCTATAGTGCCACCTAGTCACCCAAGATCGTCCTGGGGTCCCCTTAACCAGTCTCCTGATGAAAATTTAGATTAGTTTCAAGTTTTCATCCCTATTAAGTGCTGCCTTTATTTTCTCAAGATAAGTACCTGGGAGGGTGACTTTTTAATCCAAGTACATACATCTTTATTAAAGTTTTCATTTTAACTGCATAGAGCCAAAGTTCTTTCTAGAAGACTTATCATAGTGACATGCAAGTACCCATCACCCCAAATGTCACACAGATGCATAAGGGCAGTTGGGTTCTGGTCCCCAGAGACAGAGATCACTCCTGCACTTTTCTCCTGACTCCTAAGGGCCGCCCAGCAAAGGGGCCAGTTTTGGAGAAACCTGTGATTCTCCCTGGAATAAAGTTGATGACCACTAGGTGGCGCTAAATCTATGCACTCAAGTTCGCCTGCATATAAGTGAGTTCTGGGATAAAGAAAGAACACGGTGAGTAAGAAAACTGCACGATGTCTCTCTCTTTACCCTACTCTTCTGCCAGCACAGAACCTAGCATGTACCTATGTCCAGAAAGATGCATTTCTGCCTTTATTTAGCCTGCTCTCCATCACTTTCATTCAAGCCCCCACTCGGGGAAGGCACGCCGCCTACACTCGCATCAAAATCCTCATCCAGGGGGTGGCGGCAGGGGGGAGAAATAAACCAAGCCTTGTATGCACATATGAATAATAAAAGAAAAATGAAAAAAAAAATCCTCATCCACCACGATCAACGCACCAGGCTAGCGGCCACCACAGTGGCTGGCTCTGTGCTGTCATCGGCAGTCACTAGCTTCTCTGCAGTCAGTGAACTCAGACATGCCTGGGTACTGGCGGACGCTAGGAAACTGTTATGTCAGATGTAACAGGATTATTACGGCTCTGGTTTAATAATAAAACCCTGTCCGTGAGTGGGACATGCTGAAATACTTACAAAGGAAAGGTAGCAAAGTCTGGGGTTCACTTAGAATTCTCCAGCAAAGGAATGAAATAGGGAAAAGGCCAGGAAGACACATGGGTGTGTAGATGAAAGGCAGGTGAAGCAATATGGCAAAAAGTTCCTGAGTTTTCATCTGAACCACGGGTACAGGTGGTTCATGTTCCCTGTCTGTCCACTTTGCATGTGTTTGAAATGTTCAGCAACACAGGTTTATAAAAATGTAAGTGAGCTCAGTTTTGCTGTGAACCTAAAATTGTTCTGAAATATAAAGTCTGTTTTTTACAAAAGGCTTTAGCAAGGGAAAATCATTAAGACTCTGATGACATGAAGACAAATTTTAAATATACGTTAGTAACCATGCCGTACAACATACTCATGTGTGTACACATCTATTACAGTCCCCTCACCCCCCGCCCCAAATTTCAAGAAGTGGAAACAGACAGGTTAAGCCACCTGCCCAAGGCCACACAGCTGGTAAGAGGATTCCAGCTTCTCACATCAGCACTACTGACATAAGGACCAGGTCCTTCTTTCTGTGGGACTGTTCTGCACACCATAGGCTGTTTAACAATGTCCCACCTCTACCCACCAGATATTGGCTGTATCCCCCAGACCAAACAAGTCTCCAGACTCTGCCAACATCTTCCAAGGGAAGCTTCATGCCATGGAAAACCACCATCCAACACAAAACTCCTTCCAGGGCTTGGAGTCAACACGCAGATGCTGTCCACAGAGGACATCTGTGCGTCTCATCCCCCAGAGGACCTGAAGGCTCTGTCAGTCTAGTCATATCCTCCCACCAGCCAGGGACAGCTCCGAGGCAGAGGCCCAGAGGTGACATGGAAGAAGCTGACACCAGCCAGGTGAGGGCCTGTCCAACTCAGTCCCTCACCTACCCATCCTGCTTTGGAATATTCCATTCTTGCCCCTCCTCAGTGTGAGCCCAGAAAGGGGTCCACATGAGGCCAGGAGTTTGAGATAGCAAAGTGGCATTTGTAGCCAGGCACCAGTGGCTCATGAGTATAATCCTAGCTCCTTGGGAGGCTGAGACTGGGAGGATCGCAGTTCGAGGCCAGCCAAAGCAAATAGTTTGCAGGACCCAATGTCCAAAATAACCAAATCAAAATGGACTGGAGGTGTGGCTCAAGTTGTACAGCACCTGCTTTCAAAGTGTGAAGCCCTGAGTTCTAATCCCAGACCCATCAAAAAAAAAAGTGGAATTTGTCACAGTCTAAAGTCCCCAGCACCTCTGAGGCTGCCAAGTGTTCTATGCCAGCTGGTGCCAGGTGAGCATGGGAGACCCCTGCAGCTCCCACAGTCCCCTGCTCCACTGTCTTCTCACCTGCTGCTCATGTAAGAGAAACCTCTGGAAGTCCTGCAGGTACACCACAGAGGCATCCGGCCGGTCCGTGTTCCTGCCCTCAGAGAAAGGGAAAACAGTTAGAGAGGGCCATTCAGCAAGGGGTCCACCTCCACCCAGCTCCCCAACCCTCACTGTGCCAGGCACTGGGCTGGCCCATGTGAAGACACAGGGCAGTGACACCCAGGATTCAGAATCTCAGGGGACAGGGCCCCCGACTCTGTGTCCAGCTGCTCCAGGGTAGTTCTGGCTGTCTGAAGTCTGAGGAGGTCCATGAAGTGTGGCTGTGGAAAAGGAAGAAGAACCAAGCAACAGAGACCAAGAGAGCAAGAGACGAGGACAGGCAGGGGACACTAGGAAACAGTCCAGAGGGTCCCCGCCCCAGATGTGGAGGCCAGGAAGGCTGTCAGAGGCATCAAATCCCAAAGAACCCCAAAGAACCAGGTCTCAGCCAGGAGGAGGAGGAAAGAGTGGCAGCAAAGGGCCCAGAGGAAAAGAGATGAAGGAAGGAAGCAGCAGAGGGAGGGAAGGAGGCAGGGACAGGGGGAACACATGGCCACAGCGGGCACAGCAGGTCCCAGGACAAGGTCAGACCTAGAGCCCATTTATCAGGAGATGACCCTGGATAAGGCAAAGGCCAGAGCCCAGGGACCTCCTCAGAAGCCACAAGCCAGGGTCTGCCGAACCTGGGGGGTTCTGAAGATGGGGAGATATGGGCTGGAGCATGCAAGAGGCAGCCAGGGAGCAAACAGAGACCCCTCCTCCTGGGGGGGAGTCCTTCACCCCAAATCCAGGCAGGACCCTGTGGAATGACAGCAGCAGGAGAGAACATTTGCAGCTACCAAAAAAATTAAAAATAAAGTAATGGGCTCATGCCAGGCTGGCCCGCACCAACACTGGTGTCCAGGGGAGGCGTATTCTGCAGAACGGAGCTCTCCAGGGAAACGAAGTGTGGCCCCAAGCAGCGGGGATGAGGAGAGAAGGTCTCCTTCATCATGGGGGAAATGGGTCTGAAGCTTCTCCCTTTACTACACATTCAGGTTCCACTACTCTGTTGTCTGTAATCATGGCTCCATTTTTAACATTCCTTCTCTCCAGCCTCACCATCTCCCCTAACCTTCTCCTTAAAAAACTGCAAAATAGTGACAGAGGGAAAGTCACTCAACAGTGGGGGCTCAGTCTACAATGCCACAGGACATTCTTTAGGTTCCATTGATATCCTAGAAAACACGTCTCCCAGTTAGACAGGCTTGGGAAACACAGGACATCTTACAAATCTCCTACTTGGGACACTGTGAAGCATAGAAAAGGTCCTGACAAGTCCTGCAGCAGTGCCTTTTAATAGTATCTCTCTTTCTCTCTCTTTCTCTCTCTCTCTCTCTCTCTCTCTCTCTCTCTCTCTCTCTCTCTATATATATATATATATATATATATATATATATATGCCCTTAACGTCAACACAATAAGCACCACGTGAAGCACTGTATACAAGCCAATTTATTTTTAATTAGTAAAACTTGCTTAACTGGAATTTCCCTGACTTGTTTAACGATTATCACTCTAAATTTGGTTTTTAAAAAAAGCTTACTATCTTGTCAAGTTCCATGGAGCACACTCCAGGAAGGAGGCCCGAGGTTCTCAGGCTCCTCTACAAAGCCCTGTGGACTGTCCTCCCACGCTCCATAATCCACTGTTACCCATGCTCCAGGCACATGGTGGCCAGTCCCCCAATACACAGACCCTCCTGGAGGCCAGCTGGACAGAAGGACACCGCTGCCCTGAATGGCATAACACATAAGAAGTAACTCACCCCAGGATGAACACAGAGGAGTCCTTTTTGAACTCGTCCAGTATCTAACATGGAAAACACGCATAAAATAAGATTAGACAAGTCATGCAATGCCAATGAGACTTTTGTTGTTAAGGCATGGTGACACACGCATGTAATCCTGGCACTCAGGAGGCAGAGGCAGGAGGATGGAGAGTTCCAGCCCAGCCTGGGTCACAGAATAAGACCCTGTCAAAAAACCAAGGGCTGTACTGCAGAGGAGCTAATACAGAAACCTTAGAGTGACAGAGGTCAATTTGGGAAGGTGACCGGAAAGGAGTGAAGAGGTCAGGTAGAGATGAATCAATTCGGGTTGTAATACACTTGTTCATGGAAGCAATGCTAGGAATCTCTCTGCATAGCTATCCTTATCTCAACTAGCAAAAACGCTTTGTCTTTCTTACTATTGCTTATGTCTTCTCTTCAAAAAAATTGGAGAAAAGGGCAGAACAGGTTCTGCCTGGAAGCAAGGGGCGGGGAGAGATGGGGTGAGGGGAATGGACGGGGGGGGGGGGGGGAGCAGGAATAAATGGCCCAAACAATGTATGCACGTATGAATAAATGAATAAAAAAAAAAACAAGAGCTGGAGTAAATACATGAAGAAGTGTTCAATTTCCCTGGTTACAAAAGAGATGCAAATCAAAACAACACTCAGATTTCATTTCACCCCAGTTAGAATGACCAGAATCAAGGGTAGAAACAACAAATGGTGGTAGGGATGTGGGGAAACAGGAATCCTTATACACTGCTGGTGGGAATGCAAATTAGTACAACCACTATGGAAAGCAGTATGGAGATTCCTCAAAAACTAGAGATAGAACTGCCGTATGATCCAGTGACACTGCTCCTGGGCATCTCCCCAAAGAAACGCAAGTCAGGATACAATGGAGACACTTGTACACCAATATTCATCACAGCACCATTCACAACAGCCAAGCTATGGAAACAACCCAGGTGCCCTACAGCTGATGAATGGATCAAGAAAATGTGGTTCATATACACAGTGGAGTTTCCTTCAGCCGTAAGGAACAATGACACGTGGTTTGAAGGTGAATGGATGCAACTGGAGGACATCGTGTTAAGTGAAGTAAGCCAGGCTCAGAAAGACAAAGGCCGCGTGTTTTCTCTCATACGTGGAAGACAGATGCAAAAGATAAACATGTACACAGAACCAAGCATGATCTTGCACAAACTCAGATGCAGAACATGACTGTAACAGTGGAGCAGCTCCATGGAACTCAGGGAAGGAAGGAAAGGAAAAGAGAAGGCAGAGCATCAGCAATGTCGTAAACATCACATCTGTGCAGGTAGAGGATACAAGGATGGGTACTGAAAGCTGTTGAAAATGGGGGGTGGAGGTAAAGGGGTGAGAGAGAGTAACGGAGGGGGTTGAATGTACCAAAGTAAAGTATACCCACATTGGGACACCCCTTTGAACATCAGCTTAGAAATTAATAATGAAAGACATGACTGAAAATAAGTATAATGTATGGGTGTGGGGGTACTGGAGGGGGTGAAAGAGATTAAGGTGAGGGAATATGGTGGATGGACTTCATATACCTACGTGAAATAGAACAAAGAAACCTCTTGCAATTGCTCTAAGTGGGGCGGGGAGGAGGTTGTGTGGGGAGAGAGGATGGGGGCAATCTAACCATTGTACAATTAAGCCTAATTAGAACTGTCACTATGAATCCCCCCCCCCGTATGATAGCTATATCCTAATGAAAAGAAGGAGAACATGGTTGATGTACTTTGTATACAAAAGTGAATATAGAATTTATAAACTGGAAACCACCATAAGAAAGGGACTAAGGTAGAAAGAAGAAAAACAGAGGAGATGAACCAAATCAGGCTATACCACATATAAACACAGAAGTGGCACAAGGACACGCCCCATGTAGCTATCTTAAACAACCAAAAATGTCATTTTCATTTTCTTCTTTTCTTACACAAAATCAAAGAACAAGTCTTGCTTGGAGGTGGGGGGGGGTTGGTACCAGTGCAGGGGGTAGTGCAGGAGGGGGAAGGTAAAGGAAGGTAAATATTGTGCAAATACTGTGTACACATGTGTGTAAATTGAAAAATGAGACCTGCTGAAACTGTTCCAGGAATGGGGGTGATGAAGGAGAATGGTGGAGGGGGTGAATTCAACTATGATATATTTGATATATTGTAAGAACTTTTGTAAATGCTACAGTGTACCCCTACCCAGCACAACAATAAAAAAAATGCCTAGCATGTGCAAGATCCTGGGTTCGAGCCCCAACATGGCAAAAAAAAAAAATCAATGTAACTCATGTTAATTGTAAATATTCAAATACAATAAACTTCTGAAGCAAAGATTCTCATCTGAATCCTAAGAAGCAATAGCTCACAGTAACTGATAAATTTCCTTCTAGAATTTGTTCCATGGATATTCATTTAACTATCTGTGAACTATCATTCACAACTCTCAATTTTTTACTGTTGTTTCCAGCTGTAGCTGTTATTCTGCAACTCCAAACAGCTCTGCCTCACTATTTTGAAACCCTCACTGTATTTCACACTGTGTAGGTCCTTAGTTTTCTGCTATAATACCCAGTGCTGTAAGAATTCCCATGTGTGCACACGTGCTCATCCTGGCCCATCACACCGGTCTCTCTGCAGGGCATGCTCCTAGAATGAAAGCCACTGTGCAGTTCGCACATTTGCTTCCACAGACTTTGCCAGGTTCCTCTCAAAATGGCCATGAGATGGGTGACCCCATCAGAGCACACGTCCATTCCTGCCAACCACTGCTGCACTTCAAATCCTCCCTATTTCAAAGGCAGCCTCTCTGACATTCAAATTCAAGAGTAAGAAGTCAGTGCTGGCTGTCCTTGGTGGCTGACAGGCTGATGGCTGATGTCATGAAGGAGCCTTGGAGCATCATCCCCCTCCCCCCCACTTCTGCTCACACTAGCTGAGCATGTGCCCTGGCTTGCACACACATGTGCACACACACATGCACACACTCCTCATCTGTTTCTAGTTACCAGACTCAATAACGCTGTGACTGTGTGATGACTTAAGTAATTCTGGGCAGAAGTGAAGACAAATGCCAAAGACATAAAACAGCTTCTGCTCCAAATGACCAGATCCTCCTGCCAAAGTCCGTGGAGTCCAAGATGCTATGTGGCATGGCAGTGTTCTAGAAAGGGAGCCCACAGGCCTGGCAAAGTGTAGGGTCCCCTCAGTTTACACCCACGTGCATTCTTGTCTAGAAAGATGCCGCATTGTTCTTATCTAGGTCACCCAGAGAGGGCAAAGGCTCCTCTTCCAGACAATCTCAGAAGTAGTTCCTTTCTTTTATGAATAATTTACATATTTCTTAAGAGGGCTTGGTTTCAGATGCTGTTTGTCCTCTTAGCTCACCACAGTCAACACAGTGTCAAACGCATGGCCATGGAGGTTGTGTGGTTAGGTCCCACCTAACAAGGGGACAAGGGTGTGTGTTGGGTCCCTCGAAACTGTGAGCAGCATCTGTGAGCCCATCCATCCCGGCGGGGGTGAGGTCAGGGGACTCATCTGTTGTATTAACCACAGTGCCCTCTCGGGTCATGCAGACATCTGTTGGAGGGATTGGATGAGTGAGTAAAATAAGGAATTAAGTTCACTTTCTCCTGCAGCTAAAAGATTACAAGGAAGGGACGCACTACAAGGAAGGCGCCATACCAGGGCCAGGAGGCTCTGAGGACAGACAGATGGGTTCTCCCCAGTGGCTGGACACAAATGCACTCTGAGAGCTGGAATTCACCCCACAGCTCGGTGCACTTAGCAGGTAGGAGCAATGTGGTCCCAGGAGAACAAGGGCAAAATCAGCACGGTAGAAACATCAACCAAAGCCAGCTCACAACAGGTTTCACTGGTAACTTCTGCACAATGGACCCTCCTCACTCCCAGCCATGGCCAGCTAGAATAACCTGCACCTCTGCCAAAGTATGTTCCCAAAAAGCTCACACCCGCATGCAGCTGGAAGAGCAATCCCTGGACATCTGACTGACTTCGGGATCACAGGTCCAGCCACAGGCAGTTCTGCAGGCTTCCTAATTTTCTTTTTCTTTGTAATCATCTTCTGCTTTTACAGAGAGAGCACTCCAACCACCAGGGACTTCACAGTTTCCACTAAGATGTAAATGTGAAGCAGTAACAAATTGAGTACTCAATTAAAAATATGGATAAAGCGATCAAATATCTAAGGACTTGCTTCAGAATCAATGGGAAGGAAGGAAACGGCCAAGTATAGGTATGGTGGTGCACGCCTGTAAACCCAGAACTCAGGAAGCAGAGGCAGGAGGACGGTAAGTTCAAGGCTAGCCTGAGAGACACAGAGAAACCCTGTCTCCAAAGAAAACAAAAAAGTAAGATGGCCATGTTGGTAACTAGTGGCGCTGGCTCCCAGGAACACAGAGTGATTGTACTATTCTAGTCTACTATGTATGTTTGAAATCATTCTTAGTGCAAATGTGTTAAGAATCAACAAGAAGTATCAGTGGCTAGGCATCAAAGTTGGGCAGGATAACTGAAATCCTAGCTCTGCAGCTTACCAAGGGCGCAGCCTCAGAGCCTCAGTTCCTTCATCCAGAAAGTGGGGCTAAAACACCTTTTTCAAAAGGCTCTGAGAACAATCAAGTACTTGCAAAATCCTTAGCACAAAGCTGGCTTATAGTCCACCCTAGGAAATGTCAGCAATTATCTGCACTAATAATATTACTGTAACCTAATTAGATGTATATTTCCTCACCCGGGAGGTGTCATATCACGAAATTATCACCTACCTTCCTTCCTGCTGCTGTCAAACCTTTGAAAAGCTGGAGGCCTAAGAGCTGCAAATGTAGATGGGTGGTTAGACACAAGGAGGAACTGGCAAACTCAAGTTGGAAACCAGGTGTCTACCGCTAAGCATCAACCTACTCCCTAGATCTGAGGTCATGAGACACCATGACTGTTCCGTGTCCCCAAGGAACCTGAGAAATCCAACCAATTCCTACCCCCATTCACAAGGATAAGCTTTTCTCTTCCAGGAGCTTGGAAGCAGAACAACATGGGGTGGGGTTGGGGGGAGACACTGACCTACACAGGAGCTGTGAGGTTTCTCGAGCTGGCAAAAGCTATTTATATAGGTTGGGGCTTTGTTATTCAAATTCTAAACCACTGAATCAAAAATGCAGGGCCCAGCTGCAACTTGGCGGGAATACCACCAATGGCGGTGTTGCCCGGTAGGCAACAGAACAGCAGAGCGAGCTGGGTAGGGCTGGGGCCATGGACAAACTGTGCAAATGTGAGTTGCCTTTCACTCAAATGTCACATGCAGAACTGTGGACCCATTAAGGGACAGATATCACTTTCTTCAAGAAAAGTCAAATATCTGGGTTTTAACATACAATTCCCAGTAACATTTTTAAATTGTTAAACCACTAGACAGATGAAGTATGAGATGCAAGTACAATGTGGCATTCCAGCCACCAGGGAGCAGTATTTGCCTTGGTCAAATTTTTTATTCCCCCATACAAAGTCCCACGTAGGGCACCCATGGGGTTTCAGAGATTCTGTGAAACTCAGGCAATCTTCCCTCTTCTTCTCTCTTCACCCCCCCCCCCCCCCCCGCTGCCACACACACACACTTAGGAGGATTAGTGAAGTCTATGTTCTCAACAAACACTCAGACTGAGCTCCTTGACTTGCCTCAAAACATCACGAACACCCTTCCAGATCACAAGAGACAGAAATGACTCATGTCTTCCAATTGGCTGCGTAAGGTTGCCTAGCACTGATGGACACGAATTTACCCAGCTGGTCCTCTCCTGAGGCCTTCAGGAGGGTCCCGGGTATGCTGCCAGCCTCTCTATGCCACAGTAAACAGTGTGGTGATGTGTTCTGAAGTCCCAGTGTACTCATTTCCGTAAAACACATTCCCCCAAATGCCACTTCCAGGTCACAGTGAACATGCATCTTGATTTTTAAAAAATCTAGGGTTGGGAGGGTATGGCTTAAGTGATAGAGCATTTGCCAAGCAAGCTCAAAGCCCGGAGTTTAAAACCCAGTACTGCCCAAAAATAAAAAATACAAGTGTATTGCCTTAATTAAAAAGTGAGACCTTGTTTTAAAATATGGATAAAAGTATAAAAAGAAGAAACACATAATTCCTCAATCCAAAGATGACTACTGTGAATAATTTGCTGAATTTCCCTCCAGAATAAGTCAGTACAGTGGGTTCACTTTTAATCACCACACACAGAGTTCTGATTGAATTTACTGTCGTTCACATTCCTACCAGGAAGGTAGCAAACACCATCCCCTCATTTCCCCACAGCTCTACCACAGTTAAAAGACTTTGCCAACTTAATAAATGCAAATTGTATCTTATGGTCACTCCCTTCTTGTGTTTCCTTGACTAAATGGAAGATTAAACACTCTTGTGGGTTTCTCAGATACAAAATAAGAAGGAAAAAGAACATCACTTCATCATTTGCTGACCAATTCCCTTACCGATTTTTGCTGCTCAAACATAAGTTTTTTATAGAAGAGATGAAACTGTTCAAAGTTGAGCTCATCTTTGTGTGCACCGATTTCCTGTAAATATAAAAAAAAAAAAATGACCACATAACGTTGGATGTCCACCATAGGAACGCCTCCACCCTCCTTGCCTACAAGGCTAACATCAAACTCATATTCATCTGAATCCAAACGGTCCCGAAGTTTCCAGTTCACTTACCTGGGAAAACACTGAGCACAACCCACTCCCCTGGCACCCAAGAGGGAAGTCCCAGCCAGGTTTCCAAGAGCCACTCTTCCTTTTGGAAGATGGTAGCTTTGGATTTCCAAATCTAGATGGATTTATAAAGTATGTACATATAATTCATTTTTAAAGCATAAATTTTGGGGGCTGGAGGTATGGCTCGAGTGGTAGAGCATCTACCTAACAAGCACAAGGTCCCGAGTTCAAACATCAGTACCACCAAAAAAAGAATTTAATTTTTTTTTAAACCTGACTCCATCAATCAGATCTCATCAATTACTTTATGGCACTGGGCAATTTGCAATTTATAATTTTGAAACACCTGTGTTCATATTACTGACAAGAAGACAGGCTGCAGGGCAGTCAGGAGAGCAGAGAAAGATGGACCGGTAGAAACAGATGGGTGTAGATGCTCCCAGTCCAACAGACGAGCAAACTGTCTACCCTGATTACATCCTCTGCAAGGTCAGCGACACGACCCTCATACATTCACATGGCCCTAGCTGGCTGGACTAGATCAGATGAGCTCTAGAGGCAAAAGACTCTTCCAGGTCCCATTCCACCGAGCTTCGGGCTCCCATGGATTCACACCAGAGGCACCATGCAGCCCTGAGGTCATAAAATTCCCAAGCTGAACCACGAAACTTACCACAAACTTATCTTTGAGGAACTTGGCACTGCTCACTTTGAAGTTGACCAGGGGCAAGACGGCCTTCAGCTCTCGGAGGCTGATGCTGCAAGAGAAAAAAGCATGGCCCCACTGACCTCAGGGGGAGGGGATTGGGAGGGGCAGCCAGGCCCCTGGCCCCACTTCAGCACCCTGCCTTAAGGAGACTGTTCATTGATCACTGACTGTGATTAAAACACTCAGGATCAAGGTGGAGGGGGGTCACCATGATGATCCACCTTGATGATGACTGTGGACATGGGTTGCATAGGAGAGTCACCATGTAGGGTGAGCCCCATGAGGAGAGTTGGTCCTCACCCTCCAGAGGTGGCCCTGCAGGCAGGTCCCATAGGAGTTCTTGTGTGGAAAGAACATGGCGTCAGGACAAAATGTATAGGGATTTCCTGAAAGCCAGAGAAGGGAAGAGGGCAGGAGCAGACAACATAGGGGCACCACCTACCACTTACCAGGCTGCCTGGTTGTCATCCAGGCCACACCACCACCTGCCCTCCCACATTCCACACCTACAAAGCACACGGCATTGGCCCCAACACTCAGAACAGGTAGGGGACTTGAGAGACACTGCTCAAGGTCAGAGCGAGGCAGAAGCCAGCCTGGATTGGAACCAAATTCCACAACAGATCTGGTCCATGAGCTGCTGCCCTGAGCTGCCCATCGGCTTCAGGTTAAGAGGAGACGGGGAGCGTTGTCTCCCAGCAGAAGCAACAATGACAACAGTAACCACAGCTGGAACTTCCAGTACCCGTCCGAAGTCTGGTTCATGCCAGACAGGAAACTGCCAGATACAGCCGCACCTGACTGCCTCTGGGCTTGAGTGGCACACACTGCACAGACAGCTGAGATCAGGGTGATGGGTAGGTCACAGGCATGAGATCAGACACTTCTGGTCAGAGAGTCAAACAACTTGCAGAAAGGAACCTGCCTCACTTGGGTGTGAACAGAAAACAGCCCAGTCTCCCCAACACCATCAGCCTCTATCATCACCTTCAGAAGGGAGCAGCCACTTTGGTCCAGGGGTCCTGCAGAACAGTTAGCATGACTGGCCATCACAGTGCACTCCCACCTCCAGTCTTCCCACCTCTGGCTCTAACAGCCTCTCTAACATTAGAGACCTTGCCACAAAGGGCCCCTGTCCTCCCCTCCTGTCCTGCGGGGAGATGCTGAAGGCAGCCAAGAGCACTGGTTGGGCCAGGCAGACACCGCAGGCTAGGCCAGCTGCTCCTAGGTTGTTCTGACCCAGCCCCAAGTAGACCATGGGACAGCCCAGGCTTTAGCAGAATGAAGGTGGGGAAGCTGTGGGTCCAGAGCTTCAAGAGGTGGCAGAGAAAGGTCTGGATCAATGCTGGGAGCAAGTGTGAAGTCAGAGCCCTTCAGGAGCCCGGGCAGCAACAGGGCAAAGGAAGCTTCTGAGAACGTGAGGAGGCTGGGGAGTGTGTCTAGCTGCTCAAGAACCAGACACAAGATACAGGCGCGAGACTCCAAGACCTGACTCAAACCCAAAGGTCTCACCTTGGGATCAGACAGTTCTCTGGATTCCCAGTGGGAGCCACTGATCCCACTCCCCAGGCCCCTTCTCACTCCCACCTGGGTATGTGGACTCTGAACCAGCTCACAATATCAATTCCCCAGCCCCTGGAGGGGAGGAAGCCGGCAGCTCTCAGCCTCAGTCCTCTCTGGGACTCTTCTTCAGAGAGACAGACTGTCTCACCCAAGGTCACATCTGCCACCAGGGGCAGCCAGCATCCAAGGGCATGTCCATGCATGGGAACAAAGGCCTGGCCCACTGCCTCAATTCAGGCAGCCATGCAGGGCAGTCTCTGAACTCCCCTGGGGACCAGTGGGGACCAGCAGACATCACACGCACACGTGTGCGCACACACACACACAGAGAGACACGCGCGTACGTGCGCTGCCAGCTCCTGCTTCCTCCACTCCCCCAAACATGTTGATCTCACCCAAGCCCCCGATATTAGCCTCCTGTGCAAAAATAACAACTCAGACCATGTTTCTGGGGGCCTGACATGAAACCAAGCCAATCCCTTTGGGGAAGTACAGGAAACTCTCCTCCCCCCCACCAACCCCCACCCCGAGTACCACCAAAGGTGCCTCCCTCTTCCACAGCAGACATCACCAATCATGATGCTCTCCCTTCTCAGCCTGGCCAAGTGCCAAACCTTCACCTGGCACCCAGGTAGTCATTACCAAGCAAGCGAAGTCAGCACCTGATACTTCGCCCACCCGGTACTTCCTCCAACATCCTCACCATTTTACAGTAATGACAATGACGAACATTTGCTGCTGAATGTTTGCCATGAGCTAGAGCCTTTCACATGTGAACTCCTCAGTTCCGCACATCCACCAACCCTAGGTGTGAGGCAGGGTGTAAGAACTCTGTTTATTCTTTATTCTTATTCTTTTTATCTTTCTTTCTTTCTTTTTTTTCTTTTTTGGCAGTACTGGGTTTTGAACTCAGCCCCTAGCACTTGCTCTACCACTTGAACCACATCCTGGCCCTTTTTGCTTTAGTTTGCTTTTAGACAGTGTCTCGAAATTTTGCACAGGCTGTCCTCACAACACGATCCTTCTACTTCTGCCTCCCAAGTAGCTGGGATTACAGGTATGTATCATCATGCCCAGTCCTGGGACTATTCTTCTCTTTTATGGATAGGGAAACTGAGGCACAGAGTTATTAAATCATTTACCCCAACTCACACAAACCTCAGCACTGCCCAACAGAACTCTAGGATGATGGAAATGTCTGCATCTGTGAGAAGCAGCACACTCACACTACCCTCCTGCCACAGGTGGGCACTGCGACAAAGCCACGAGTGGTCAGCAGCTCCTATCCTGGGCAGTGCAGTTTGAAAGTCCTGCTTCTCTAAATGACCTCTAGACAGCAATGCCCACACCCTTGGGGATTCACGACAATGCAAATCCTCCAGCCCCACCCAGACCAGAAGCTATGGAGGTGAAACCTGCAAACTGCACCATACCACTCTCTCCAGGGGATGCTGACACACTCAAGTGTTAAAATCTCTCTCTAGACAGCCTTGGACTCAGCCCTAGCTTCACGATAAAATTTAAAATTTTAACTTTTAAATTAAATGACCAAAGAATCTGCTCAGATGTGGCAAAAGTCCCCACTTGAGCCTGCTGTACTGGAGCCTCACTGTTCACCACATGACCCTATTTGCATGCAGGAGCCGAGTGGACTCACACCTGTCTCCCACCTGCAGCAGCTCCCCTCCCACCTTCCTGATGGCTGAGCTCAGGCTGAGCTCTGTCCCCGCAGGGCTGAAGGAGAAAGGAAATAGGTTCCGTTTATGAAAATTCAGTGTTATGTGCAGGGGGTCAAGGGCTGAGGAAAACTGGCGAGCACAGAGAGAAAACAGAACACCTGTGCTTGCTGTGGGACCACCATGGAGCCCCCACCATGCAAAATGGTTCAACAGTTCCTGTCTCCACAGAATCTATCCAGAGAACCAGAGGCACGAACAGATGCGCACAGTGCACAGCTGTGTTCACAGCACCACTGCCCACCACAGCTAAAAGGTGGATGCATGGGGAGGCAGACATAGGAGGATCATGATTCAAGGCCAGCCCAGGCCAAAAAAAAAGTTGAGATTCTATTTCCAAAACACCTGGGTATGGTAGTGCATATCTATAATTCCAGCAACTCAGGAGGCAGAGGTAGGAGGATCGTGGTCCAAAGCCCAGGTAAAAGCTAGAGACCCCATCTGAAAAACAAACTAAAGCAGCAAAAGGACTGGGGCATGGCTGAAGTGATAGAACCCTTACCTAGCAAGCCTGAGGCCCTGAATTCAATTCCCAGTACCACCAAGAAATTTTTAAAAATGGAAGCAACTCAAGTGTCCTTCAGAAGTTGAATGGATAATGATGGTGTACACATACAATGGAATATTATTCAGCCTTAAAAAGGAAGGAAATTCAGCCAGGTGCAGTGGCTGTAATCCTAGCTACTTGGGAGGAGGAGATTGAGAGGATTGTAGTTGGAGGCCAGCAGGGGCAAAAAGTCCTCAAGACCCCATCTGAACCAATAAAATCTGGGTGTGGTGGATCTAGTCTGTCATACCAGCTACCCAGGAAGTGTAAATAGGGGAATGGAGGCCCAGGTGGCCAGGCATAAAGGGAGACCCTATTTAAAAAATAATTAAAGCAGCTGGGTACCAGAGGCTCATGCCTATAATCCTAGTTATTCAAGAGGCACAGATCAGGAGGACTGAGGTTTGAAGCCAGACCCTGCAAATAGTTTGTGAGACCCTATCTCGAAAAAACCAATCACAAAAAGAGGGCTGGTAGAGTGGCTCAAGATGTAGGCCCTGAGTTCAAATCCCAGCATTGCAAAAGAAAAAACTAAAGCAAAAAAGGCTGGGGAAGTGGCTCAAGTGGTGGACCACCTGTCTAGCAAGCATAAGGCCCTGAGTTTGAACCCAACCCCAGTTCTGACAAAAAAAAAAAAAAACTGAGCAATTATAGTGTCCCTATAAACTGTGGTGTACTTCCTACCCAGCTGGGTTGCTTTGGACAATCAACATAACTTCCCTGGGCCTCAGTGTCCTCATGTATAAAATGGGTGCCTAGCTCAGTAGGCAGCTGAGAGCATTCCGTGACTAGGTGAAGAGCTTAGAACAGGGGCTGCCGCCAACCACGGTCTACACACACACCAGCTGCTGCCATTTCACCTCTGGAGAGCTGAGAGGCAAAGCAGGAACCCGGGCCAAGCAAAGCACCTGAGATAATGGCTCCACCCAGGCCGGGCGCCTGCCCTCCTGCCTTCAGCCCTCCTTGGCTTTGGCTGCCCTTGGTTTTCCTTCAGGAAATGCCTTAGTCAACCCCTTGTGGGCAACAGGAAAGGGAGGGAAACTGGCAGGGCTGAAGGTGGCTTATTTTTCATGGTTGCCTTGGTCAAAGTTGCTATTAAAAAGGTGGGATTTTCCACATGTTGACAGAAAGGCATGGCTGGACCCGCTGGGAGGGAGGAGGAGAGAGGGAGATGGAGCACAAGGACAAGGCCAGAGACAGGGCTTCCTCCTGGCTGAGGGTCTGGATCTCTCTGCAGGACCTGAAGAATCTACCCAGACAAGAGCGAGCCTTTTGTCTCTTGACCACATCAGATAGAGAAGTAGCCTTTGGATCCAGGTCAATAACCCTGGGCCACCATTATGGGGACAGCAGTGGCCAGGACAGCTCCTTGGTCACCCTGGGCCAGAACCCTGCAACACTGGGACCTTACTGGCTCCAGCTCAGTGACACCAGAGGGCATCTGGCACGGGGGGACCACACTAAGTAGGAGGAAGAGTCCAGGAGGAAGCAGAGGGAGAGAGAAGACATGGAGAGAGGTCAGCTGACCTGACATACCAGGCTTTAACCACTTTGCGGTCAATAGATCCAAATGTTCTTGCAGGGTGCACTTAGATGAAACCACAGCTGCCCAAACCCCCAAAACAACAAGAGACAGACGACACTGCCACATATAAAGTCACCTTCAGGATGGACAGACTTCCAGAAAACGAAAAGGGAGAGTGGACAGGTTACTGCCTCTCATGTGATCTTGACATATCGAAACTAAGAAGAAAAGGAAAAGAATGTGATCGAAAGGTCAAATGTGAGGCTAAAGGAGACTGTAAAGTGCTTAGCACAATGCCTAATTAATGCTCAATAACTGAATGATAGAGTTTTCCACCAGGTGTGGTAGTGCAAACCTATATTCCCAGCTACGTGGGAGGCAAAGACAGGAGGACTGACATTCAAAGCCAGCTCAGACAAAAAACGTCAGTGAGACCCTGACTCAAAAGCAAGTGTGGTGAAGCATGCCTGTAATCACACTACATAGGAGTCAGAGATAAGAGGACCACAGTCTGAGGCCAGCCCAGGCAAAAACTCAAGACCCTGTCTCAAAAATTGCTACAAGCAAAAGGGTTGTGGTGTGGTTGAAGTTGCAGACTATTTGCCCAGCTGGAGCAAGGCCCCAGGTTCAAGCCCTAGTACCGAAATAAATAAATAAAGGTAGTCTTTATCATCTGAGTATTAATAAGAACTAGATCCGTTAACCTCACCCACAAAGAAAGAAATGCAAATGTAAGCAAAGCCATGCTTTTCATCCATCAGATTAACACAGGGCAAAGGCTGAGGGTGCAGGGGTAGGATGGTCCCCACAGGGAAGTGCGACGTACCTGGAAATCTACATGGCCGCTAGCTGCTACACGATGTGACCCGCAGCTGCAGCTCCACGTGGAAGGATTTACCCTTCTTGCATCGAGGTCACACAAAGGCGGCGAAAAGCTTTTACCACAGTGCTAACTCAGGACAGGGAGTGACTCTGTGGCCGTCAAAAGGAAATGATTTCTGGGGCTACACAACAGTCACCTCAGGAAAAACCCAAGCTACACATCTGGGGAAGAAAAGACTGGCTGGCACAGAGCTCTGCGTGTGTGCTGCAGGGACCGTCCCCTGGACGGACGGGAAGTGGCCTGATGGACGTGTCATCACAAGGCCAGCACGTCACGGCCATCCAAGTTGTTATCTCCGCGTGGCCAGCCTCTCTCCTGACACAACGTGCAGGTGCCACACTGGTCATGTTTCCCACTGTGTTCCCAGGACAAAGGAAGGTGCTGGCTGGTGTTTGTGACGAGGCCCCAGTGCCCACGGAGGAGATGTCACCTCTGCCACTGGAGCTGAATTTTCTGTCAGAATGGAGGTTCCACCTGTGCTAAGGATTGGGTCACCATAGCCCCCCCCCCCCAGCTCTTAACACAGCGTCTGGCAAATCCAAACTCACGAGGACCTTGGCCACCAGAAGACCTGACATGCCTCAAATCCCTCGGCACATTTAAATAAGGAACAAAAATCAGAGTCCAAAGAAAACTGCAGAATTGTGAGTGATTCTTACCTGTTTCTTCTGGTTTGATCTACAGAATAAATCTGCTTCCTCAGCCAACTAGAAAGAGATTTGAGATGAGAGAGAGAAAAACAGGAGGGTGGGGAGAGAACACATTAGAAAACAGTGTACATCCAGGTAAATTCTATGGGATGGGGCAAAAGAATCTGAAACCAAAGGGTTTTCCTGCTTCCTGCTTCCTCCCAGGGCAGGTTGGAAAGCAGTTTTCTACTGTGGCTGACAACCTCTCAGCCACAAGGGCCTGTTCCACAAGTAAAGGCTGGGTTTCTATAAAGTGACAAATCCCCAAAAATCTAGCAAGAAACAGAGTACAAAGTGGAGGCCTCGGTTCACTGTGGGGTTGTAACTCACAACCCAACCCCACCCACACCCTCACCACACTAAAGACAGCCCTGAGGCCTTCATCGTCCATGAGGAAGTGACAGGTGGCCATTTCCAGACCCTACCCCGAGGCACCCTTGTCAGTCCACTTATCCCTTATTAAATCCTTTGCAGCAGAAGCACAGAGGATTGTGGCTTGGATTTACTGTGTGTTGGATTTAATGGGTCTCCAACACACACCACCAGTGGGTGTTACAGTCTCAGTTCCGACTCACTGCTCACCCCAAAGCCATAGCTAAACACCAATTAAGAGAGAAGCCTATCTGAAACACTGGAGCATCCACAACCACTACTGAGCACCACTGCATACAAGGCATTCAATGAACCTCAGAGACGTGAGGTCCCATTTTTCTTCCCTGGGTTCATACTCCCAAAGGCAGCAGAACAAAGGAGTGGGTGAGCGAGGACAGAGAAAAAGGGACGAATCAGGTACCTCTCGATCATGGTGGGAGTAGACGCCGCCATCGCTTCTTGGTGTAAGATTTTCAAGCCAGAGAGCCATTTAACGGCGTCCTCTTTAGAGTCAGCTGGAGAGGGAATGGAAGAAGAAGAAATGCTGTGTGAATTTCTGGGAAGACCTCTGCCTGGAGAGCCAGCACAAGCACACTGAAGACCACAGAAGGGGACAGACCTGGGCTGGCTTGTAGAACTGCACGACACCCAAAGACCATCTCCTTCAACCTTGGTGGCCTGGGACCTGCTTGTCCGAGATAAGGCCACACTTGGAATAAATAATAAGTGGGCTCTTTCCCATGACTAATGGCAACAGACAAGAGTGACAATACTAGTGTGACCTTCACTCCTGCTGTTCTAAACAGCAGCTGATGTCATCTGTGTGCTACTGTTGGCTAGGCACCACTCTATGTTCCTTCCCTGTACTTGTCTAACCTTGACCAATGAGCTATGAGGGAGGTGGTGTGGTTATTCCCACTCAACACAGGGAGAAACCAAGTCTAAGACAGGTTCAGTGGTGTGTCTGAGGCCACACAGCTTTTAGGTGGTCGTTCTGGACTCAATATGTTCCCTAGAATTCAAGTATGGAAGCCCTCCCCACAGTGGAGGTGGGGTCATCAGATTTAAATTAGGTCATGGGGGGTGGGACCCCTAGGAAAGGATTGGTGCCCTTCTGAAGAAGAGAAAGAGACCCTGACCTTCCTCCCTATCAAGTGCTCACTGAGAAAGGCCACATGAATACAAGGAGAGGAGGCAGCCATCAGCCAGCCAAGGGGAGGCTCTCACCAGCACCCAACCATAACAGCACCATAACCTTGGACTTCCAGAACTGTATCAAAATAAGCCCCTATTGTTCCAACCACCCAATCTGGTATCTATGGCAGCCAAAACAGACTAAGACCGTGGCAAACAGAATTTTAAACAAGAGTCCACTCTGCTACCTGTCATGGCAGCACACTGATGCCATGAGTAAAAAAGCTGAAGATTTTGAACCCAGATTGGACTCAAGGACTGGGGTTCTCAGCCCCAGCTTCTCAGAGCATTCAAAACCCCAATGCCTGGGCCCCACCCCATAAAAACTAAATCAGAAGGAAGGCAGGGGACTCTCCCAGGCAGTGCCAGTGTGTATCCAGCTCTCAGGTCTTCGTCACTTCTGAGGCTGTAACAAATAACCACACACTTGAGGATTAAAGTACACAGATTTCCTTCTGCTACAGAGGTCAAAATCTAAAATAAATTGGCAGGCCTGCACTCCTAGAGCTTGGGGAAGAATCCTCGCTTCTAGAGGCCATATGCATTCCTTGGTTTGTGGCCCCACCTCACTCTGACCTCTGCTTCCACCCTCATGTCTCCTCCTCTAAAGCGGACCCTTCTGCTACCCTCTCAGAAGCAGCATTGTGATTCCACCAGCTAATCCAGGATAATCTGCCCAAGAGAACGCTTAATTCCATCATCCCTGCAAAGTCCCCTTCTCCATGCTGAGCAACACATTTACAGGTCCCAGGTGGCAGGACATGGACACCTTGGGAGGGCACTGCTCTGCCAAGAACCACTGGCTCAGAAGCTCGAACTTCTCATCTTGTCCTGCTGAAGAGTGGTAGCTTCTAGCGTTATGGCAATGAGTAAGGTGCAGGACCCACGAGAATGTGTACCACAGTCCTGTTTCTGATGGAGGCCGGGGAAGGGCTGGGAGCAGATGATGGTGTTGACATGAGAAAAGGGGCTACAGCAGTGGTAAAAAGGTTGCCCCATGCACAGAGGAAGATGGCCACTGAAGTCCATGCCATCACTGCAGGACTGTGTGACATTCACAGGTTCCTGCCTCATCAGTGCCATGCACCAGGCACTGCAGATGCATCCTCACTGTTAAACATCTGTCAGGTGACAGGCACCTGGTCACTCTGTGAACAGCCTGCCAAGGTCACCAACCTCATTCTTCCAGGAGGATGAGGAGAAAACTGACTCAGAAGGACTATGTGTCCCAGGGTGATGAGTGAAAAGCTAGAATCTCAGCCAAGGTCTGGAATTCAGGGCTCTAGAAGGACCTCAGAATGGGACACTCCAAAACTGGCATCCTGGACTCCCAGCCTTGGGCACTTGTGGTCTCCCTACCAAGAGCAATGGCCAGGGCTCAGCCTGCAGGTGGGGCTACAGGGTCAGGGGTCACGCCTTTCTTCCCCATCTCTACCACCTTCCACGCACCATGAGCCAGGCATTCACTCACCATTTCCCACATCCAGCTGGCTACTTCCCTCCGCTGAGCTCTTGTTCCCTGGACTACCTTCCCTCTGTCCTTCCAACTCTTACTGATACCTCCAAACCCAATTTCAAAGTAACTCCTTACAAAGCCTACTGTGGAATAAGGGCCGCTGAAGTCCTCAGCATGCTGTGCTGTGTGTGAGCCATGGTTCTGATCAAAGGGTGCCATAGCTGCCTACCTACACTGCCAACTCCCCAAGATGTTCACACTGCAGGCTCTAAGGGCAAGAACATGGTCTTAGTCCTCACTCTGGCTCTACTGACTGCCAGCACAGCCTGGCGCAGAGCACGTGCTCATGAGATGCTTGATAAAAGGATGAATGGGAAATTAATCAGAGCTGTTTGACCTCTAACTAAATGTTCCTCCAGCACCTAACTCTTGTAGTCCACCACTTTGGTCTCCTTCTGTAGCATTTCAGCATTTATTTTTTGGCATTAATTGTGACTGTGCTTACACTTCTAACTCAGTAGTTCAAGGACTGGACCTGAAAGCTACTAAAACCTAACGATGTGTATGCATGTGTGTGAGGTGTGCATGCATACATGTACCTATTGTATGCATGCGTGTGGTGTGGTATCCATGCATGTGTGTGCACGTGTGTGCTGTATGCAAGTCTGCACACAGTGTTCGTGGCTGTGCAAGTATGTGCAGTGTGCATGCTTGTGCGTGTGCTGTGTGCATTTGGAGTGTATTGTGTGCTGTGTACCTGCATGTGTGTGATCTGTGCACGTAGTGTGTGCATGTATGTGTGTGCACGTATGCATGTACACATAAGATCCCAGGACGGTCTCCTTGGATCAGTATCTGCTGAAGGAGAACAGGTGACATCTTCTGTCCAGTAGTAATCATATTAACCACAATTTATTCAACTCTCAAAGGGAGCCAGGCAAACTTAACATGCTCCTTCCAACACCCCAGTGAGGCAGGCATGATTTTCTCCATTTCACAACTGAGCAAATTGCAGCTCAGGGAGGTTAAGTTGCTTGCCCAGAGACACACAGCTGGAAAACAGCAGTGCTAGGACGATGATGCCCATGATGCCTGTTAGTGGACAGGGAGGAGTGAGCATCTGCTACTAGAGAGCTTCCTAAGGAGGGAACTGAGGAACCGGGAGGGGGAAAGCAGACAAATGTGCACCCACTTGCCAAGCTGAGTGTGCTGAGGACGAAGTGGGTGCCATACAGGATGGTGAAGCAGCAGTCCTCCTTCTGGCGCACGGCTTTTGCCCGCTCAAAATCCTTGGCATTCTTCCCCGGGCGGATTTCCTTTATTTCCATGATATCCACTGAAAGGAAACAAGCAGGAGCCAATCAGAAGCCAAGTCCACCGCACCCAAGGACACAGCCTCACCCCTGCACCTGGGCAGCTCCTCTGGCCCCCAGAAGGGACTCATGAGGCCAGCTCTGTACCTGGGTCCCCATGTGAGTTCAGGCCCCACTCCTCCTGGGAGCGGATGGAAGACCCGGAACCTCCCCAGGCACCTGCCAACTACATGGAGTGGGATGGCTCTTCTGCTTTGAATCCTACATGTCCCCAGATTTTTGTTAAAGGCTTGGTTCCCAATGCAGCAGTGTTCAGAGGTGGGCCTGTGGGAGGTGACTGGGTCACAGTGATGGCTTCATAACTTAGTGGGCTATCAGGAGGCTGTGGGGACTTTAGGAAGGGGACCACTGGTAGAAGTAGGTCACTGGGGAGGTTGCTGGAAGGGCACATCTTCTTCCAGTCCCAGCATGAGGTGAGCAGCTTCCCTCCACCATGGGATTCCTGCCATGATGTTCTGCTTCATCATGGCCCAGGAACAATAGAGTCAAGTGACCAGGGCCTGAAACCTCTGAAACCATGAGCCAAAACCATCCCTTCCTCCTGTAAGTTGATTTTCTCAGGTGTTTCATCACTGCAACAGAAAGCTGCCTGACACAAAAGGTTTGAGATTTCCTCTTGTCCCCTTCCCAAGATAGATACATTAAAGCTAGGACAATCAGTTTTGCTGATGGAAGTCAGAGTTGAGAGAAGGGACACAGAACATCCTGTCAAAACAACAGAAGAGCAATGATGCTCACCACCCGTCACTCTGAACAGCACGAAAGGTTCAACTGTCCTAGTGACCCTGACTTCGATCAGCTCTTCCCTCGAGTCCCAAAAGCTCCAAGTATTCTCTGGCTCAATTCAAGGGGGTAAAGAAAAACAAAGTCCTGAATGAATGAAAGAGAGAGAAAGAGAGAGAGAGAAGAAGAAGAAGAAGGAGGAGGGGGGGGAGGGGGAGGGGGAGGAGGAGGAGGAGGAGGAGGAAGAAGAGGAGGAGGGGAATGGTGGTCCATACCTGTAATCTCAGCACTTGGGCTGAACAGAGTACATGCACTAAACAGAAAAGTCTGAAAGAGAGGGAGGAAGGAGGACCTGCTCTGCACCAATGGCAGGAGGCAGAGAGGTGGCTCTGGCCAGGAATGAAAGAGGAGGGCTGAGTTAAATCTAGACACGTAAGAAAGTGCTTTTTTGAATGTTTCATTATTTTTTAATTGACACTTATCATGCATGGCATCCTGTGTAATGAGGAAAGACAATTCAGAGTCAGAGCGAAAATAGCAGCAAAGGTTCATGGCTGTTGCCAGGTAACGATGGGGGAAGCAGAGAATTCGAGGAGAGGGGACAGATGAGCTGAAAGCGTTCCACTCTCTCGTCCTCACGTCTCGCTCTACTGAAAAGGATTCTGGGAAGGAGAGTCACAAAATAACATGAATAGACTAAACACAGCATTTGTCCTGTCCCACGTTGATGGCGGGGTGGTTCTCACACATAGCTATTCATGTGATCCCATTCACAGATCACACACCACAACAGAAATAAAATACCACACAAAAATGAGTACGTGTAAAAGATGGTGGAGACCAGTTCATGTCTGGACTCTCACATGTCAGTGTCTGGCTTTGATCACCACGGTCAGGGAAAAGCTCTCTCTGGGAGACCCAAATGAATGGTTCACAGGGTAGTTTTGCTATTTGGGGGTGGCAGGGACCATGTGAGTTTGAAATTATTTCAAAACAAAGTTTTAAAATCACTTATCAATTACAGGTGGTCTTGCAAGGGGGGCAATGGCATCTCTAAGCCATGGTGGGGTAGAAAGAAGGGCTGGGGACAGGGCCCATTCTCCACCCAACCTAGACCTCCACTCTATCTTCACTCCCCAAAAAAACAGATCCCAGGCTGGTGGAGTGGCTCAAGTGGTAGAGTACCTGCCTAGCAAGTTTGAGACCCAAATTCAAACCCCAGTACTGCCAAAGTAAATAAATAATAAAACATCCTTTCTGTGGTTCTAGGAGCAAATCAGCATTCCCTGTCTAGCTGTTTTACAGTTATCTAAAACTTTTTTATGGGATGAAGGTTTGTTTTCAAAAACAGTTACTCACCCACCAGGCTGGTCACAGCCCAGGACTTTCTTTTCTTTTTCTACGTAGTTTAACAAGTCTCTTACCCACAGCGTCTATCAGTGGGAATCTGTGAGGATTTTTTTCCCTTGCAGAATTTTAATGAAAATTTTGACACATGTACATAACCAGAGGAAAAAATTCAAACAATGTAACACTGTCAGCTGGCAATCACTAAGTCTTATCAATTCTACTTCCAGAATTGCTCTGGAAGCTGTCGACTTCTATTTGTTTCCAGCGCCATGATCTAAGCTGCCACTGTATCTTGCTTTGTCTACTGAGGTGACTCACCTGTCTGCCTGCAGCAGCACGTCCCCACCAGAGCCATCTCTAGGAAATGCTCATGCCACTCTTCAACAGTTTCCCACACCTGTGTTAGAACTGAGGACCACACTGTAGCCACGAGCAGCTGACACCCACTCCTACCACAGGACATTAGCCTGTGCCATTGTCCCAACTAGGACTGATTCTAAACCTGGTTTGCTCCAAGTCATCCCTTCTAATCTCAGCTCTACCAGCATGGAACTCAGACAACCTTATAACTCCTGCTGTGATCCACAGCAAGCCCTGTTCCTCCCTCTCCTCCACAGCACTTAGCAGGCCCGTACTTATCAGAGAGAATCTGCAATCACAGCTCTCTTTCCTCACACCGTGTCCCCAACCCAGCACAGTGGCCAGCATATGGTGGTCTTGACAAGGAAGGTGATGGAGAGAGATGGGGACTGCTCAGGGGACAGGGAGGGAGGAATACAGAAGAGGGGACAAAGAAGACCAATGGAAACAGAGACTCAGATGGGATAAAAGAAGGGCAGAGACGTCAGGAACAGAGTCAAGCCACTCAAGACAGATGGAAGAGATGCGTAAACACACGGATGAGACAGGAGCATGGTAAGAAAGAGTGTGAAATGCCAAGAGCCACTCTAAACCTGAGCACTTCACTTCAGAGCAAGAAGCACCCCTCAAGCCAGGCCTGTCCCAGGAAAAGCTGCAGGGACATGCCTGCATCGGCCAGGCTGACTACCTCCACTACATCACCTGACTACTCCATCTTTCTTCTCCCCAGGATCACCACACTTCTATCCTTTCTCCACTTAATGGCCTTTGTTCTTTTGTCAAAGATCAGAGGATGGTGTGTGTGAGCTCACTCCTGGCCTCTCTGTCTTGAGCTTTGATCTGTTCATTTATTTTCCTTTTGTGCCATGATTGCACTTCCTCGCTTACTGCAGTTCAGGTAATGCAGTCCTCTAACTCTGCTTGTCTTCAATGTTAATTTGGCTCCTCTAGGTCTTTGGCCTTTCCACATAAATGTTAGATGTGGTTTGTCAATGTCCACAGCAGAACTTGCTGAGATTTTCTGACACAACTCCTAAAATCCTTGGCATTTCCAAAGTGATGTGTCTTTTGCACAGTTGGGGGCCCCTGGAGAGCCTCAGGATGGCAGCTCGTTGCTGGAGGACCCAACCATGTGACTACAGGGCTGGAACTTTCAGTCCCAACCCCACCCTTCAGGGAGAAGACGGGCTGAGTGTTAAGTTGACCACAATGGCCAATGATTGAATCAATCATCCTATATAATGAACCTTCCATCCAAACCCAACAGGACAGAGCTCAGAGAGCTATGGTTGATTCACATGGAGGCTCCTGCAGGGGGCCCACCAGAGAGTTCAGAAGTTCTGCAGCCTCCCCTACACCTTGCCCTGTGCGTCTCCTAAATCTGTTCATCTGTATCCTCTGTAATAGTCTTTTTGTGGAGGAGGGGAGGTTCTGAGTATTGAACTCAGGGCCCTGCACTTGCTAGGCAGGCACTCTTTCACTAGAGTGGTGCCACCAGCCCTTGTCGCTTTACTTAATTTTTAAATTAGGGTCTTGCTTTTATTCACAGGCTGCCCTGAACCACTAGCCTCATGTTTATGCTTCCCAGGAAGATGGGTGACAAGCACATGCCACCACACCCAGCCTTTTACTGGTCTCAATAACTCTTTGCCCAGACTGGTCTCAAACCATGATCCTCCTACTCTCTGCCTCCTTAGTAGCTGGACTTACGGGTGTGAGCTACCCCACCCGGGTCCTCTGTAATATTCTTTACAATAAATTAGTGTTTCATTGGATTCTGTGAGACACTGTAGTGAATGCACTGAAACCAAGGACGAGGTTATGGGAACCCCAATTGTAGCTGGTCAGTCAGAAGCATGGGGCTTGTGTAGTGTGGGTGCTCTTGTGGGACCGAGCCCCAGCCTGTGGGCTCTGATATGATCTGCAGGTGAACAGTGCCAGAATTAAACTCAATCAGACAACACCCAGATGCTGTCCACTGGAGCAATGCGGGCTTGGTGTGTGGGGAAAACCCTGCATGGGTGGTGCTGAGCGCTGAGTGACAAGGAAGGAAAGAAGGAAGAAAAAGAAACACCTCGGTTTTTCATTTCTCAGAGGTGAGGCATTTTGTGTTGTACTGAGCTTTTGAGAACAGGAAACAAAGAATTTAGTTTTTTTCTGTATTCTGTTAGATTTTGACTGGGGCTATGCTGAATCCATAGCTCAAGCCAGGAAGAACAGATCTCTTACCATATCCAGTCTTCCTAACCGTGGACACGGACTACCCATCATACTTTTAAGTATTAGCTAGAAGCAAGATGCTTAAAAGATTGGATACACTTGATCCTAGCCCTCAAGGGTCTGACAGATATATTGGTCTCGTTCCTGAAGACAAAAATAAAGGCTATAATACAATAAAGCTCTTACAGCACACTCACTACACAGAGGCACCTTCCAATGGTTTGTGGTTTGCTGGAGCCAGAGGCAGGGATTCCTGTTCAAGTGACAACTTGGGGGCGGGGGTGCCAGCCAGTGGCCAGGGAGGGATGAG